TTGTGTTCTAAGTGCCTCTTAATCCAGAAGACACTGTGAGATGGTGAAGGTTTTCATTCAGTAGAAAACATACAAGCATCCACATGGACTTGAGATGGTTTTTCAGTTGCCAAAGTATGTCCTTTCCCAGAGCAAAGCTTGTAACTGGGATAATTCACTTCAAAACATGCTATCCAAGGTTAGCAGTTTTACCTTGAAATATGGTTGCAAACATTGTTTGGAAGACTTTCACACTGAAGTCTTCCTATTTACTAATAAAAAAGCTTTATGCCTCCTCGTTTTGTGACTAAATTGTTTTTCCTCCTCATGGTTGATAATAGTGTAACGTTGCTATATAGTATTGGTAGTTTTCATCAAGAGTTGTCTATCAGTGCTACTCAAGTCTGCAGTGGGAGGCATAAAAAAAATTAAAAAATATGCAAAGCTTTCTACAACAGATTTTGTACAAAACAAAACAAGAAAAATAACAACAAACAAACAAAACACACACACACACAAAAATAAACAACATAATTTGTTTCCAAAAACACATTATTGACCTAATCATTTGTGATTGGAAAAAAAGCTACATGAAAAATTGCCTTATTTCAAAAGCTCTGTTTACATCAAGGCTTCAAAGTATATATAATCAGATTTCTCCACTCTCATTTTTATCTGCTTTCTCTCCTTGAACTGCAAAAATGCTGTCATAACTCTATCTATTTCCTGTAGGAGCTATTAGTCAGTAGCATTACATCCGCTTAAACACGATCACTTTTCTCATCTCTATGTTACTGATATGCTATTATCATGTTATATTGCTCATCTATCAGAGATTGCTGTGTTTTCTGCACTGATTGCAGAACAGAGGCCAGATGCAGCATTATGTTAGCAAAAATATTTAGACATGCTGAAATATTCCAATAATTCTCTCGTTCTTCTATACATAGCGTGTTAAACATATATGTTACACAGCAAAACCTTCCCATGGTGTATTTCAAGGTTATGATGTGAACTGTTTCTCTGCTTTTAATTCTTAAGCAAAAGCACTTTAACCATCAGTTTTGAGCTCAACCATCTAAATTCACATTTGTTTAAATGGCAGATTCAATAAAAATTCCATCTGGCTTCCATAGGAAGTTTGCGGAAATTCTTCAGAATCGATTTCTTCTCAGGACACAATGTACTGGGGCCAGGATCAGAACCTCTTCCTCCTGTAGTGTATTTACCAGATGGCAAGTTTATTGAATCTGGTTTTAACTTGCTAGATCTTAACGGAATGAACACCACTCAGAGAAGTGGGTGCTACATTTCAGCTTCAAAAGTCTCTTTTAAAATCAGCCCCCCAAATTTATATGCAGAGCATGGTTGGGACCTGGGCAGTCTGTCGCATACCTCTCATCTCTTCAGTGCTTGAAATGGAATTAGAAAGTGGCACAAACCGCTTCACAAAATCCCAGTAATTTACAGATCAGCAGCGTTGGATGTATACAATAACAGTAACATGGCTAAATCAAATTTGTAACTTCCTTATTTCATATATTTTTTAAGCATCTGAGTTTCTACACTGCTGTACAATGTTTTCACTTGAATTACCTTTTCTCAAAGTAAAACAGTGATAGTATTTAAGATCCACTGATGTCACCTAAAACTATCCTAAGGTCTTGTCCTGAATGTAGAAACGTGCTCTGTACTAAAAACTAGCACTTCTGATAGAATTCCATTTCTTCAGCTTTTAGGTTTGAATCAGGGAGAAAAAAAAAATCATGCTTCTACTTAGCAAGGGGGCAGCAAGTTTCTTAAGAGTTTTTTTTTTTTTAATTAAAAAAAAAAATCAATTTAATTACTGATGCAAATTTTAAATTATTTTATGACAGAATTCTTTCTTTTCAGAGTACAAAGCACTGCTTTGCATTTCTGTTACCTGCAGAGAAATCAGATTTTTATGTTACAGGATTTTTTCCTGTTTTTCTGAGAACGGAGATGATTAATCCTGTGAACACACACCAAAGAATTTCAAGGAGTCTGCAGCATAAATACTTTCTTTTTTTTTTTTTGTCAGTTCCAAGCAGTCAGGATGCTAACGTGTACTTGCATACAAAGTTTTAGATGTTTACATCCGTAATAATTGTTAAGATACTTTAAGTTAAACATGACTGTGTACACTGGCATGTAGTGTAGAACCAGATTTGAAGAGCAAAGCCAGCAGTGCCAACAACCTGATGCTTACACTGTCAATGTTGCAGAGGTTTTTACGTTGGACCAGCCCTCATCTGGCTCCAGCGGCTGAATGTGGCTGGAGGAATCAAGTTCAGGTGCTCCAAGATGGTTCTGTGAGAAGAGCCAGAGCCATGCGAGCAGGGTCTTTTCTGGGATTCACTTCAAAAGCTTCAGTGTGATCCAAATGCTTGCTGCAGTGTAACTGTTCTCTATTATGTGCACTAGTGGTTGCAGGACTCTGCATGCACACATCTTGGTGAAGGCTCTTTACCTGCTATTAAGTCTACATTTAGTGTATAGACAGACAGTCAAGATTACTGTATCTGTGTGCTTGTACAGATTAACACGCTCCTTTAAGGTGAGGAAATAATTACAACTGTTTTTCCTTTTTTTTGATACAGTTTCACACTTCATGGATCAATACTGCTTATATATACTCTCCTTTCTATATATTCCTGTGCTAGTCTTTGCACCATGTGATGTTTGTGATACATCTTCCTCATTCACGTGAGAATTGTTCACCTCAGTTGTAGAAATAAGGGAATAAAATTCCTTCATCTTGTTGCTAATTCTGTATAAGACTATAATTGTATAAATTTTCATAACTGTAGAATCACAATCTTATAGAAAATACCTCAAGGAAATCTATTCATTTGGACTGGGGCTGGGCTTGCTGTTTGGGTATCACCTTGTCCCTCTCATTAATGAACCTGTTTGTTAGGAATTTAGTGGTACAGATTGCCCATCCTTTCCGGCACCCAAGAAGACTGAGACAGAGAGCAAGACTGGAAAGAGATTTGAAATATATTAAGAATGTTCAGGAATCCAACTTGCAAAAAAGGTGGTGATGGGGCCAGAATCAGAAGTAATTGTTTTCTTCCAAATAGGGGACTTCAGGATTCACTGGTTAAACTGCTTTTCTAAAACTCTCACAAAATTATTGTTGGCTTTTCTTTGAATTAATTACTTTGGAGCAAATTCATCTACTGAATCATTTTACCACTTTATTCAAATACTGCAAAGTGTATGTAGAATGACTAATGGGGTCCTGTAAATCACATGGAGGTAATTGCATCCAGGCATACTGATGTCATGAAGCATTGCAAGGTAGAGTGGTTTCTGTGGTATTTCCAAATGAAATTAGACAGTCTCTCATTTGCAGTTTGTTTGTGGTCCTTTTCATTCAGCAGAATACTATATGGGTCTGATAATAATATAAAATAAGTAAGTGCTACAGCCTGATGGTGTTTTGAAGATGTTTTGGCTTTATATTCGCAGTTTTACTGCTGTGTTACCATTATTTCCATTTATATCTGGCTTGATTTTAGCTAAGATACTCTTGTATTTGTACCATATGGAGATTGTTATTATTTTCATTTGTTCAGCAGATGTGTGAGCCTTTCATAGGCCTTACTCCTTATCAAATCACGTTAGATGCTGCAAAATTCTGCAAAGTGCAAGTGTTCTGTTGTATGGGAGCAAGTACAGGATGTCAGTGCAGGTGAAGGACAAGGGTGACAGGTCCAGTATTTCAGTGCACATGAATATCACTGTGTACAGAAGATACAGGTAGGAAATCTTTGAGATTAATTCCATCATTGGCCTGCCTGTGCAACCAGAAAATATACTAGCCCTCTTTCAGCCAGCTGCAGTGGATACAGTTGTTAGTCTGTCTTTTATATTTCCAAAAATATCACCTCAATCTTGCTTATTTTTAACATATCAGAGCTTTTTTTTTTTTTTTTTTTTTTTTTTTTAAGAATTTGGAGTAGTCCTGTTTGATGACCATTATACAATCCAGAGCCTTGTCAGGTTTTTTAGTGTTTCTGACACCTCAGTAAAGCATGCTTATGCAGTGATTTTAATGCTTATTTTTAATGACTGTGCACTTGATGTGTATCACCTATTCTGCTGTGATCAGCTTTGCAAACTGTACAGTTGGAACAGAGGCATAGGAAAGGGGTGGAGAAGCCATTGCAAAGTGATCTGGTAAAATGATACTAGCTGAAGAAAAAGACATCAACAGGCAGGGCAGCTGAGTCCTGCTACATGCAAACATCTATAACGTGACAGAGGAAAAAAATGGAAGAATCAGTCAGTCACATTCATTGTATTACAAATAGGTGTATACATGCCTCCTCTGTTCAGGCAAGTCAGTTCTGAGCTTTCCTATTGGTAATATATAAGTACTTATATATAATTTTCATGTTAGTTTTCTTTAAACAAGTCCTATTTTCTGTGGGGAATGTATCATGCTGGCCTGTTTAGAAAGATGCCAGAAAAGGACTTTCATGTAAGAAAGGTTTTATGTAATCTGAGGAAAGGTTTGGAAGCCACTGATACATTTCTGTGTTTTCTCTCAGCAGCAGAAGTTTTTTTACTGCATGTGTGATTTCATCAGAGGTTTTTTCCTTCTCTGAATATCATCTGTGAGATAATGGAAGAAGAGATGAGAGCTACAGATATGTAACTTAAGTAAAACCTGGCAAGCAGAACTTCATTAAGTGTTCTTAAGCTGGGCCGTGCTTACAGCAAGGCAGTTTTGCTTTGAAAAAGTAGATGACGTTGTAACTTGAACGTAACCACTAAAAACCTGAAGTTTATGTCTCTGGCTTGAGTGCAGCAAAACTAGACTGACTTACACCAGATGAGGATCTGTCTTTTTCTCATATTTTTTAATGCTTCTATAATCCTTAGAAAATGAAGCTTTCGATTCTTTGGAAATGTATCTCTTAAGCAAATGCCAATGAAAAAATCCTTTAACTTCGAGTAACTCTCTTGTTGTGTTCCTTCCTTTGCAGCTTCCTTTGGTTTGTACTTCCCCAGGAAAGAGTACTCGGAGAACGTCTACATTGATCAGCCAGCAGGTACACCGCTCCTGCGCATCCATGCCTTGAGGGACTCACACGGAGAAGCGGCTCACTTTCATCTGTGCCAGAATCTTGTCATTTCTCGAGCAAGATCCCATGAAAATCATTGGTTTCAAATTAGAGAAAAAACAGGACTTCTCTACCTCAGCAGGAGCGTAGATAGAGAAGACTTTAACATGTTGTGTAAGTACAAGACTAGCTTTCCTTGTTGAATTATCTGTTGTTAAAGGAAAGTTTGTTTGGGTCATGAGAGTTACCAATCAGCCTATGACCACTGAATTTGATTTAAAAAAACAACAACAACAACAACAACAAAAAACAAAACACACCTTTTAAAAATGAGGAACCAGAACTGACAAAACCCACAGCAAATGCAAGAAGATGCATACTAAATTAAATGCTAACCTGGGATGGATCCAGTTGCTTTCACTGCAGGTTCCAATACAGCGGGAATGTTGGACTACATCAAATCACTTTTCTGCATTTCACAGCTGCAATAAGCCCCAGCTTTACACTGAGATTTGCGATTTGTTCAGCTACTGGTGCAAATTGAGCCAATTCCACTTTGTCGGTGTTGGGTGCTTAGTGTCCAGACTGATGCAGTTAGTTTACTTCTAACTCTCATAAACAGCCCTCAAAGTCTTGTAATTTGGATTCACACAGTTAATTCGCATGTAATACTAAATAGTTCTTGGAAGAAGTAGTTATGTGTACCTCTCTTTCTCTGGAGATCTGGTTTAGTTAAAGAAGCTTATTATTGAACTATAGAAATGAGTTATCCTAGGTTTTTCCTTTTCTTTTATGTTCTAGCAGTAAATTGGTTTTGGTGATTTTAATCTATGAGGAAATTAGATATCATTAGATGGTGGAGGAGGAAATGGGTGAGGAGCTAATGGCCAACTGCTGTGATCACTTGCAGAAATTCTGCTGTTGGAAAGTCTGTACTAACTGTCGAGTTTAAGGGCCATATATCAACACTACCCTTTGATTTGGGTGCCTTGATGTTTAAATGTTCAACTTCAGGCACTTACTGTTTTTATTTTTTTCATGCTTATTGCTTATTATCTCACCCATTTGCACTGCATTTTTGGTACTTGGTGTTCGTGAATACCAGATAGCTGTTTATAACTGAGCAAGAGAAGAATAGCTATCCAGAACTTGAGTGTCTTGGGATTTCTTGTTTTGTTCACAACATAGTGACCTATAGACTCTTCAAGTGAATTAGCTCTGTCACAGATACTATCATTCTGTAGTCAAACACTGATAATCAAAATAATTAAGGCTTAAGGGTGTGTTTGTAGATGTCATGGGTTTATTTTAATGTCAGTTATATTTTGACCAGCTCTTTCTGTTCCAGAATGATGAAGCAGATTGTTCTCTAAACATAAGCAAATTGATCCATATCCTCAACTGGTATAAATTCACAAAACACTGTTATTTAAATGACAGTTAGTAGTTGTGCGTCTGTCCTCAATATTTGTTACCAGTTTTGCACACTCTTTTTCCCTATTGCAACCCCACTCTGCTCTGGTCCCTTTGAAAACAGCTCTATCATAAAGCTGATTACTAGTAGTGACTTACTGTATGTTAGTGTCTTATACAGGCAAAACCACTGATACAATTCAATGATGTTCTATATAATAAAATGAGTAGTAACACCTATAGGTTTTTGGCTTTCTAGAGTTATTAGGATTAAAATTTAAGGTTGTTGAACCAGCAGATTATATACTCAAGACTTTTTCAGTTACATAATAGAACTATGCGGTTGTTTGTGGAATAATGGGCTAGAACATTAAAAAATGTAAAAGAAACAGCGTGTCATCCATAAAATATTTCTTTTGGTGTGTTTTTTTCTGAAGCTGTAGGAAACTGGATGACATTATCAAAAGTGATGCTGTATGTCTTCCTTTCATCCCACCCTTTCCAAGAGAAGGAATGTGACTCTGCTACTCGTACGACAGTTGTCCTCTCCTTGATCAATGCTACTGCACCAGCTTGTAGTTCACTGACAGCAAGGCAGCTTTGCTTCACGGAAATGGATCTTTCCTTTCACATCAAGGAGAATAAACCACCTGGCACATTTCATCAGCTCCAGTTACCCTCAGTTCATCATCTGTGTCAGAATCTCAGCATTTCCTACAAACTGCTGGCAGGTAAAACTGGAACTGAATCTTTCGGGTCCCAGCAATAAAGGCAAACAGCTGCACTGTTAAGATATCTCTTGTAGTAGATCGGCTACGTTGATTCTCTAAAGGAAATTCCCTTGCAAATGTGATCTGAGCCTGAGCATTTTGCCTTTGAATTATACAGAAAGGATGGGAAGGAGGACTGTCTCTTTCCCTAAGGAAAAGATTGGTTTTAGAAGTTTTCACGTGGCAAGAGCAGATCTGGAATATGCTGAGCTATAAAATTGTGCTTCTTCTAAAGTGTAGGATTTTCTGTATTTTCTCACTACCCTAATATATCCCCACAACTTTCTTCTGTTTCACTTCTGACTCTGCCTTTTATCATGCAGTCAAAATGTCCAAATAGATTACTGGAATGTAAAAGAATATTACAGAAGAAAACAGAGTCCTATAATAGGAAGTGATTGTCCCCGTTTATACTGTGGCTATGTTTTTCAGCCGAAGGTATGCCCTTTCGATACAATGAGAACACCACCGGCGTGAGCGTGACACAGCGCCTAGATCGAGAAGAGAGAGAGAGATATGAGCTGATTGCCAAATGTACCGTGAGAGAGGGCTTCAGGGAAATGCAGGTTGAGGTGCCTTTCCTGGTAAATGTGTTAGATGAAGATGACTCTCCTCCCTTCCTTCCTAATGGCACTGATACTGCAGATGCTGTCGTGGAGTTCAACAGAAAAGAGGTAATATTCTCCTTGATCTGGTCTCTGAAGAAGGAGCACAGTGGTTGTAGGTGGGGTTATTGGTGTCAAGCACATGGTCACACCACGCTCTTCAGAGCTGTGATTGTAAAATGGTGATGCTGAAGAATTCTTCCACACCTCCCTTCTTATATCTTATTCAGACCCCAAAATAACAACAAGTTTGGGTCAGGAAGGAACAATGTAAACAAACGTGAGCAATTTATGAGGTCAGGATGGGTCATTGCCACGACTGTGGTTGGGCTTATTGCATATTTCCATATAGAGCTCTACATTGTATTTGTTACAGGGTTATTTCCCCCAAGAGACTGAAACTGAGTGTTGTTAGAAAAGGTGCATGTGAGAATCCTTACCAGATATAAGAAACACATTCAGAACAGCTACTAGGGTGCTGTACCAGTGTTAAGAAGTGAGGAGAAGTGCTCATCTTCTGCAGTGTTGATTCTGTCCCTGCAGACAAACTTTGCACTTGCAAAGGTGGTAACGTTTCTGGTTTTAGGCTGTTAAAAGAGAGCGCCAGGATCTTGCTTTAATGGTCCCGTCCCAATTCTCTTGTACTGTGCCAAGATGACCTTTCAAACGGACTGAATCCCTGGATGTTTTTATGTGTGCCTCTGTACAAATACACACATTGCTTCAGTATAGAAGAGTACAAGTGGGCTTTTGGCTCCTCCAGTTGGAAAACTTAATACATCAGTGATAGAGATAAGGCACTTGTTTATGGGCCTAAATGATGCATCTGTCATGACAGGACTTCTGTTTCAGAACAGCAACCTTTTTTTTTTTTTTGCAGTCAAATTTCCCTTCAAAGTATGTTTTGCTCATGCTTGTGTCTGGAAGGGAAAGAGTTATTTGGGGAGTTTGCTGCCACCTCCAGACTACAGCAAGCATTGACAACTACCACGTTTGCCTGGACATAATGCAATTCCTTTTCACGTTTTTGGAAGAATTCTATATTTGTTTCACTTAGATCTGGATGAAAAAGGGGAAAGTCTCATAAAGTTGTGTTATAAATTGAAATACTGTCTTTGAAATTACGTGCCTGCAAAATGCTCAGAATGTGGTTTCACTGTTAGTTTGTAGTAGAAAGAAAATCATTCTACTTAGAAATTGTCAATCTTTTCTAGCAACTAAATGAGCTTGAAATAACAGCATTACAAATGAAGAATTTTAAAAGACGTGTGCATTCAGTGACCGAGTAGGAAACAGCAATCTAGTAAGCTAAGCAGAAGACAGACAATTCAGGCCACTTGTCATTTAAAGTGAAGCTTGACCTGAGTGAATGAATTTCCTTGTCATTTAAGTACCTGTGTTACTTACCTGCTTATTTAGTAGTTTTGTAGAATAACATTGATTTTTGAATGTACTGTATTTATAATGTCTGTAATATAGTACATTCAAAAACACAAGTCAAGAGCTGTGCACTCATTTCCTGCCTCAAAAGTTTGGGATTGTATTTAGATTAGATTACAATATAATGATGTACTCTTTGTGCGTGTGTGTATATATAGTATATACATAGTATATACATAGTGCGTATATATAGTATATACATAGTGTGATATACACCCCAAAAATATAAAAATTAATACATGTTAAATATATTATGACTATAAATTTATTTCATATAATATGTTATGAATCTGTAAATATATAAATATATTTGCATATTGTATATGTAAATATATTTTTTTAAAGTGATTGAGTACTCTAGCTGCACAACTGGGGACAGTCCAGTTTGAGGTTTTCTTTTGGCTCCTCACTAATTTATCCGAGTGTCAAACTTCAAACTGAGGTGGAGATTGCTGTGACAATAACATGAAGGCCAGATAAACTATCCCCTCCTGGGTCCTGAAAGTGACTGTGAACACTAACCTGGCTTAATAAAGTGTTTCTACATATTTTCTGGACAAAAACAAAAACAAACAAACAAAACCAAACAGGTGTGAAATATTGGTATCCTGAATTTAAAATTAATTTGAATAAAAGTGGGCCTAACAGAAAGTTAAAGATTTTTATATGACCAGTATTTTAATCTCCAAAGCACATGTCAAGGGAAGAAAGCTTTCAAGGTCAGTCAGCAATGTCATTTATGATTTCCTTCTAGGGAACTGTCCTTGCAACACTAACTGTATGTGATGCAGACACCACACCTATTTATCCTCTTGAAAGCAGCAGAAAGAAATACACAGGAACCATCATTACTGATGATCCATGGATAAATGAAACATTTCGGGTAGAGCATATTTTTGATGAAATCCATTTCAGCCCAAACGGCAGCCAAGTGAGGGGAACTCAACACGAGTACAGTAAGGTCTCTTTCTTCAAATAAAGAAGTTGTTTGTTAATGATTGACAGTTGCTATTTAACTTTTTCAAGTATTCTGTAAATTTTACCCAAAGAAAGCTGGTAAATTTCAAATTAAGCAAAGCACTGAGGTTTTAAGCATGTACTGAAAAAATGGTGTATTTCTGGGATAGGGATTATACGTTCATTGTACAGATAGGTGAGAGGTTTTGATTAAGCCATGGTTGGATTCTCAACATGGTCATTAGTGTGGAAGATCACCTTTTCAGTACCTCTTCAAACATCTTGTATAGCACAGCATAAATCCACGGAACTGCATTTTATTTTCTTTTTTTTTTTAATCATTGTTTTATTTCCATTCATTTCCTAGTATGAGTAACTTTGATATATATAACCGGGGGGGGGGAGGGGGGGGTGTACAGTATCAAAAAATACATTCTCAGATTCCCAGATTTTGGTTTATAATAGACTGATCTTATCTTTTTTATCTTTTGTAGAACTGGTGCTGAATAAAAGTATTTCAGTCACAGAGCATCGTTCTTTCCGGCTGGATGTTTTGGTGAACGACACAGAATTTCATGGCCCAGAAAGATCAGTGATGCTTCATTTCAATGTCTCCATCCTCCCTGTCAGCATTCAGTTTCCAAACACAACTTACCAGTTCACAGTGAACAGAAATGCTGAACGCTTTGCACAAGTAAGAACTGCTTTAATTATACTTTCACTCTGTTAGAGTCAGAGATAGTAGATAGATCACTGGTAGGTGAGATGCAGGAAATCTAGGCTCTATTTCTTGATTCCAACTCCCATTTGTATGCAGGTAAAGTTTAACTATCTGTGTTTCATGGTACACTCTGAAATTACATATTAGATTAAGAAATGTGAAATTCTAAAACTGTTTCTGGCTTCTCCCTACTGATTTAGCTACATACTGGCATAGTTGTTGCTACTATTTCATTCCTAATTGTTTATTTTCTGCAATTACATGGTTATTTCTGCTTGCTTTTGTGGAACAGCTGAGCTGTTCTCTACATTTTTTTGCAATGCGCATAGCTTTCAGGAACTCTTCAAGAATTGACATGCAAATGTCTTCTTCGATGGGCATATGGTTAAAGCATTGTTTGTAGCTGTTTTATGTGATGACAAGATAATTTGCTGGATGTGGCCACAGTGGATATCGAGTAGACTGGACACTAGCTCTCACCATATAATAGCAGAATAGAGGACGTATGTGAAAATATTAATTGACAGAAATAGAGACTTGTATTATCATCAGAGGTACTGGCAGCCATTAGTGTCTTAGGCATAAATAAGTGGGAAAATGTCAACAGCAAAAAAGTGCTTTGTCCTAGCTATTGAGTCCCAGCTCAATAGCTATATTCTAGCATTTTTAATGGCTTTTCTCTAGATAATGGCTAGTTAGTAATTAATGTGCTTCCTAATTTAACCCTCATTTTAGTTTAATCACTACCACTGCCATTAATAATGCCTTCCAGAAGCACCTTCTAACAGGTTGACATTAATCAGGTGAAAATTGCAATGTAATTCCTGTGGAACATGTACATTAATAAGGAACTAGTTCAATATAATTAATTTTATGAAAGTGAATATTAAAAACATCAATGATGAGCTGTTTTGAGGGAGCTCTTGAGAAGTATATCTTACTACTAAATAAAGCTGTAATACCACTGCTGTATTTGCAACAGAGAGAAGGATTATCCTAATTGCAGAGAAAACCAATTCATTAGAAGTCTCCTATGGAAGAACTCACTTTTACTCATCCTGAAGCCTCTGGCTAGTTGTAAAAAGAAGGAAAAAGGAAAGTTGTGTATAAATCATGTTTTTATATTTAATCTGATGAAATGCACTATGGTTTGGTAGCTTTTGAGAGTACAGAATAGGCCTTACGTGACCAATAAAAATGCTGCTTATTCAAGAGAGATTTTACCCACAGTCTACAATGAATAGTCTAAATATGAGAAAGCCTCTGAGTGATCACATAGTGGGCTCCTTATGAAAACAACTGCTTTATGACACTGTGATTCCTTGTTGCTGCAACTTCTAAATTTGCAGCCTTTTAAAAATTTCAGAACACATACTGTGCTTTTTGCACAGATCACAACAACTGTGATGTTAGGAGGGTTTAGTTGCTTGTTTGTAGCACTAGATTGTGAAAGATTTATTCTCACTGATGTAGAAAACAGGTGCAAGGAAATAAGGTGAGAGCAGTGGTTTTCCTCCAAAAAGAAATAACATGAGGTGCTTAGGATACTTACAGCCTAGTTTTTATCATTTAATAATGACTCCCAACTGCATGCATGTCACAACATGACTGTAATTGCAAAAAGGGGGACAGTTGACTATTGGGTATGCATGAATATATATGAAATAATTCCTTTTTTGTGTGTGTGTGCGTGTATATATATACAAGAAGACATTACAAATATGTACATACATACAAAAACGTTATGAATTAATGAATGAATTCTCTGTTGTCAAAATTAAATTTGGTTAAACCATTTTTTATCTGTGCATGCCCTAAATTGACTGAATGTGTTTTTTTCAAGACTTAATATATATTATTTTTCAGTTTCATAACCGTAGAACAAAACCATGTTAACGTTTTAAAGATACCTTTCTGGTGTGTTGTCAGGACAGTCAAACATTTGACATGGATTTTTAGGGTTTCTGGAAACAATGACACTTTACAGTAGCCGTGCGATTTCACTGGGTGGCAGTAGTAGCTGGGAAAAACAGATTGTTCCATGAAGAACTCCCAAGTCTGTGGGAGATCAATGTACTGCCTACATGCAAATTCACAGAGATTTTTGTTCTGATTCTCGACCAGCAAAATGGAAAACTTATTCTGGCTCTGAAGATGGTTTTCTTGATCAGTTAGGATCATCCACTTAGTTTTCAGACTGCATTTGAATTTACAGTGTGGTCAGGTTTGGAGTACAAGTCGATGTAAGCATTTTAGTTCCCAGCACTTCACATTATTAAAGTTGTCTGCATAATTAGCCGTGATGTGCCAAAGCAGTGAGGAAAAGTACTGAGCCAAATCAATATGAAGGCTGAACTGTCTCTTGCCCTAAGGAAAACACAAGAGCGTGAAGAAATGATTAACTGCTGGGCTGATGCCATTTGTCTATTTGAGCAGCTAAATGAATTGAATAACAGAAGCATGGCCTGATGGTACAGGCTTGCCCAGTGGCATTTAACTTATCAAAGGACTTAAAGCCCTATTGACATTTACTGAGATAAATGATGAATAATATAAGCTGAGATTTTTTAAAGAGCTTATATGTCTAAATGTCCCTGGAATTCAGTGAAGAGGAACATTATCATTATCCAGACTTTATTAAACTTTGAAGTTCAAAAGATGGATTTTTCCATTCCTATTGCTGGTAATGATATTTTTGTGTTAACTGTTGTGTGTCTTAAAAACTGCATCAAAAACCAGTCAAAAATGGGAAAGGCTGTTCTTTCCTGCAGAAAATGTTTGAGAGGGGCATTTTTAGCTTCCCCTTAAGTGATAAAAAGAAAGCAAAACTGGGCCCCGCTCTACTATAAGGAAAATCTGTTCTTCAGGAACTCTAAATTTATGTTGCGTCCATCCCATTTGTGGGAAACTTTGTTGGCAAAAGGGTGCCTGGACAAAGCAGTTATGGCAGAGTAGACAGCAAGAAAGGTCAATTTTTATTTGGTCTATATAAAGGTTAATGTCATGGGATGTAACTGTTCTACTGCATCAAAGCAACATCACTGGGAACAGTTGCAAAATACTGCCAATTGCAATGCAACACCAAACCTAAAATGACGTGGTACTGGATGGAACCTGTGTAGACAGAATTCATGAAGAGTTGCAGTCTTGTCTTCACTTCTTTTTTGTCTTGCCAGTCCCAGTGTGCTGTCAGGAGAAGACAGCATGGAAGCTAACTACCAGTGATGGCCTAGCTTTTACTTGCATTAGTAGTCTTTGTATGCTACCTGTACACCAAAGAAAAATAAAAGTGCCAAAAACTGAAAAACACAACAAAACAAATGGAGCCAAGTGAACAGTTAGCATGTGAAGGGAAATGTTGGATGAAGTAGGATTATCCCATGACAGTCCTTCTAGGACTGCAAGAGCTTCCTCTCAGACTAAATAGTCCAGGCTCATAGGAAGAGGGCTTAGTAAAAAAACGAACAAACAAAAAACCCACTAACAAACAAAAAACTTTTTTTTTTCTTTTTACAATCTTGAATAAAAATGCTCAAACACATCTTAACTGAAGCCTCTGAAAAGAATCCATCACCACATCTCCTTAAATAATACCCCACCCTTCACATTGTGGTTTTCTCTGCAAGGAAAGCCAGTTTGTCTGGATCTGATCCGAATCCCACTCCAGTAAATGGAAAAAACAAAGTTTTGGATCAGTTCCTGTAGGAGCTGGACAAGAGACAGGGCTTTACATTCCTGTGCTGCTTAGATAGATTGTTTCAGACTGAAGAGTGCTCTAGCATAGATATTCTGGCAGGCAGGAGTTCATATATGGCAAATCCACATATTTTCATTTTTAGATGAAAATGTTTAAAAAATTGCAAATGGGAAACAATGAGTTCCTTTCTCCTTTTAAGGCTTTCAGAAAGCTCTGCTGGCCAGAAAGTTTTGACTGTAGCTATTACAAAAGTTATGCATTAGCAATTTCTATTTCTGTCTTATTTGAAAAGAATCTCGGCTTTGTTCACACTGAGCCATTTGCTTTCTCAAGCAAATCCAAAGTTTTTCTCACAGATCGGCCTGGGACAGAGCAGAGACTGAACCTAGACTTTCCCAAATCATAGGGTTATGTTCTCACTGGATGTGACCTACCACCAGCAGTAGGCACCAAATATTGCCGAGTCCCTGGGCCAAATTTTCTACTGTTTCCACTGTTAATCAGAAGACAATGGGAATCCTTAGCCTCTTGTTTTTACTGAGGATAAATGACATTTGAAGGACCTGCTTAGTAGCTGAGGCTGTGGATGTTGTGTACCTGGATTTTAGTAAAGCATTTGATGCTGTTTTCCACAGTAGTCTCCTGGAGAAGCTGGCTGCCCAAGGCATGGACTGGGGTACAGCTGGCTGGGTGAAGAACCGGCTGAGTGGCCATGCTCAGGGTCATAGGGGATGGGGTTCAGTCCACTGGTGGCTGGGCACCAGTGTCATTCCCCAGGGCTCGGTCCTAGGGCCAGTTTTATTTAACATTTTTATCTGTGATCTGGATGAGGGGATCCAGTGCACCCTCAGCAAGTTTGCAGACAATACCAAGTTAAGTAGGAATGTTGCTCTGCTTAAGGGCAGGAAGGCTCTGCGAGGGATCTGGATAGGCCAGATGGACAGGCCAACTCCAATCGCATGATGTACAACAAGGGTTAGTGCTGGGGGTTGTGCTTGGCTCACAGCAACCCCACATAGCAGTACAGGCTCAGGGAAGAAAGGCTGGGAAGGTGCCCAGCACAAAAAGTACCCAGGGGTGCTGGTCACCAGCCAGCTGAACCTGAGCTGGCAGTGGGCCTACGTGACCAAGAAGGCTGGTGGCATCCTGATCTACATCCGGAGCAGTGTGGCCAGCTGGATCAGGGAAGTGACTGTCCCTTTGTACACAGCACTGGTGAGACCACACCTCAAGTATTCAGGTTTTGCATCCCTTCCTACAAGAATATTTGAGTTGCTTGAGTATGTGCAGAGAAGAGCAACAAAGCTGGTGAAGGGGCTAGAAAATGAGCTCGAGGAGGCAATGAGGGTTTAGTCTGAGGGGAGACCTCACTGCTCTCTAAAGCTACCTGAAAGGAGGCTGTGGCAAGGTGAATGTCAGTCTCTTTGCCTGGGTGACAAGCGATACGACGTGAGGGAACGGTCTCAAGTTGTGAGGAGGCTTTAGATTGGATATTATAAGGAGTTTCTTCATGGAGAGGGCAGTCAGGCATTGGAACAGGCAGTCCAGGGAAATGGTGGAGTCCCCACCCCTGTAGGTATTTAAAAGGTGTATAAACATGGTACAAAGGGATATGGTTTAGTGATTGGACTTGGCAGGTCTGGTGGATGGTTGTGTTTGATCCTGAAGGTCTTTACCAACCTAGATAATTCTGTGGTTCAGGTTCTGTTTTGGTGGTAAAATGTCAAATCATGTGTAAACGCTAAGCTGTGGAAGGTAAACTATTCTCCATTTTCTTTAAGACATTTTGGGGAAGAACAGAATGTTTTTGATGTACAGTTTTGTTTCTGTTCTTTGTGACTTCTTTGTTGCTGTTTGAGCCTAGATAGGAAAAATCTGTATTGAAAACTGCATGAAATTCCGTGGTGTGAACATCACCTACAAGTTACTGTCCCCCAACGTAAGCTGCTACCCTGTCAGCATACTTCAAGGGCGAGAAGACAAATATGGAAGCCTTTATGTGAATGATTCCTCTGTACTACGCAGACCCGAATGCAAAGAAATACAATACACTATTCAAGCTACAGACAAGCAGAGCAGGAAACATACCAAAACACTTCTCACTATTGTATTGGAAGGATCTCGTAAGTACCTGAGTCAATTAGAACAATCTCCTTTTTTACATGTGTTACTGGTATTAGGTCATGAGTTAGTTCGGTGATCCATAAACTGATGGCATTAACAATGCGCATGAGCCTGAGCTACAAGATACAGATTGCAGTTTGTGTTTTTATTAGTTTTGATTCAAACCCAACTGTGACAGATGTTTATTTGAGGAATTCATGCAGATAAAGTGGTGCACTATGTGTAATTTCTAATGCTTATACACACACACACGCACACACGTGTATGAAACCATAGTTCTTTGACCTAGGTGTATTTAATCATCTTTCTTGCAACTTTCCTCTCCCATTTTTATTTATTTATTTTGGCTTTACATTTTGCTCAATATAAATAATACAATTGTATTGGTCTCACTTTACTGAAAAGGCCGTAAGGGCAGAGTGTTAGAAATATTCTTTAACAGCCACAGCAGAGGAGGGTTACACAGGAAACATAACCATTTCTCTCCAAACCATTATCTCACTTTGTGCAGAACCTGAAAATTCTACCTCATAATTTCCTCAGTTTCCTTCTTTTGTATCATAGCTTCTATGTCAGGAGGGAATGGGTTGATGAAGAATAAACAAAACCCTGAACTTCACTTTTTGTGAGAGCCTTGTGCTGTCTGAAATCACACATTCCTAGCATGTGCTCTTGGGCTACTACTGCATTAGCCCAAGTACAAAATATTTTTGCTTAATTAAAAGTTTTGTATGAAACTGTGACCTAAGGTCCCTATTGCTGTGTTTTCAGAAATACATTAGCGTATTTCTACAGTTCTAGGCATTGACAGTGTGCCATCAAGATGACTATGCCATCATGTTCTTAATATTTACTTTCACAGAAGAGAAACGTCTATAGACTTCTTAAATGTTACTTAAATTGATAGTTGGGTCAGTCAGTCTTCGCTCCGTCTTCTCTCTTCTGTGACCTCCTTTCTTCCTACACCAAAGAAAGGAATTTTCCTTCTGGTTTGAGCTAACTTGTTGTGTATTCATGTTCCTTTTACTGAACTGATGGCAAACATTCTTCCCAACAGTTTTAAAAAAAGAAGAGGACTGCCCAGAGTCTTGTGCTGTGAGTAAGCGCTATGCTGAATGTGAAGAGTGTGGTGGCCTGGGAGTCCTAACAGGAAGATGCCAGTGGAGACAGGGGAGTGGGAAAGGTACATTTCTGTTGTCTGAAATCATGTTTGTGTTTAGTTGTAACTGATCTGTGGAATTCTATAAACTGATTTATTCTAGCTGGACACAGATCTGATAGGTGGCAGTACTTTTGGTTATTCCATAACAATGCTTCTTCTGTGTTTATGCTTTGTCCCATCAAACTGCATTGAGCATTTCAAATTCTCTTTGACAACCTCTGTAGTCAAATACATGTAAAATTGTGTAGGGATGTCCTTAGCCATAAAAGCTATTCGTCAGTCACAAAATGGTCTCCTACCTCTTTTTCAAGTCATTCTCACTGCAACTGTGACCTACCCAAAGGGCTATCAAAGACACAAATCAGAAAACACAATGAAAATTATTCCTTCCAGTTGCTTTTATCTGTTGTCTGTCCTGTTACTTTAGAAGATGGGAAAGTATTTATAATTATTCACAGATGTTTAAAATAAACGTAAGGTTGACCTGTATTTTGGTGTGTCACTATGTGCAGAGCAGATGCAGTAAGTTTTCCTTCAAAGCCTCATGGTATTTGTATAACTCTGTTTTTCTGTTAATAGGAATCACCACAAACTATTCCACATGCACCCCAAGTATCAAGACTTGTCCAGATGGCACCTGTGATGTGGTTGAGAGCAAAGATCCAGCTGTGTGCCCCCAGGACTGTACAAGTATGGAAATGTTTTAGGATTGTTTTTTTTTTGTGTTGCAGCTGATTGCTGTTCATCAAGCTCTACTTTCTTAAGCCCAGATACTTTTACAAGTTCCACATATTTACCATATATGCATTGTCATACCTGCAGATGAATCATGAAAGAATGTTACAATTATGGAGACTTGTTATTTTTGAAGCCAGTCAGGTTAATGCCTGTTGGCTCTCAGTGATGGCAACATAAGGTTTTCTCAGTAATTCTCGTTCTGCTCCCTCTGTTAATTTGCAGGTAGTGTTCTTCATTGAAAATATTTGCTGAAAAAAATACTGGTTTTAGGCAGGTTAATGCCATATTTCCAAACTGTAGCACATTGAAATCGAAACCATGTCTGTTTAAACTATTTCACTATTTACTAAGTAAAAAGAAACAAATTTCAATTCAAAATACATGTGCTTAAGAAGGATCACTTTCAGAAATGCATCTGGACTTATTTGACAAGTAACTATCAAAGTGATCCAACACCCTATCTATTTGAAGATACTGGCAGAGACTCACATGAACAGCATTTACAGAAGAAGAACTGAAATACATTTACAGGTTTTTCTTCAACACATTTATTTGCATTTCACACACACATACCTGCAAGGTCACAAATCACCCTGAATATATCAAATGTACTGTACTTGAGTAAGTTCAGTCTTCTATGAGATGATCATTTTTTGATCCACTTACATAGCATTCAGTATCTAATGAATGAATAAATATGTAAGCATCTGACTTTTTTTTTTTTTTGAGTAAATCTCCTGGCTCTGGCATCCTTTACTCCATGTTTAAATTTTTAATAGTTTTTGAGGAACTATTAGTATATCATGGGCTAGAACAGAAGTTGTTCTATAAAAATGAATTAATAAATATGCACCTTTTGAATTTTGCACATGAAAGAATGTGATTGTGTATTCTAATTGACTTTTATCACATTATTTCATTAGAGTGCATAAAAACATTCTGTAGAGTGGCAGAAATGATTGAAGTGAATGAAAGTAATTTCTCTGATCATCTGATTTTTTTTTTTTGGTTGTTGTTGGTAATAACTGGAATTAGTTGCCATTCCAAAAGTGGAAATATTTGTGACAGGAGCCTGAAAGAAATACTGTCTTATTAGATAACAGTAGCAGGCAAGGAAGACAAGCTTTCAAGATGTTATGTATGCCTTTTTAATGCCTGAGTTGGATAATTTTATATGTAATTTAATGCAATTCAGAGCCTGGGATAGTGCCCAAAACCAGTATATTTACAGACAGAGAAATGAACATGTTTTAGGAGCTCAGAGGTGCAGAAGTACCGTTATTTCAGCTTTTCCTGGCAGAGGACATTTCTTTGGAAATAAACGGCAAGTAATAAATAGAAAAGCCCCAGATGCATTAAGATCAAGGATATTCTTTAAGTACACACGGTTGCTAAAATACTTTTTTTTTTCCAATAATTCGTCTGTCATTATGATAGCTGTGTGCTGGAGTCTCAGAATTGCTTTCTCACACTAAAACTATAAATATTAAATTCAAGGGCAGTCAGCTGAAACAGCTGGTGCTGTGGCTGTGCCTATCAAATAGAGGCAACCTAACTGCATTCTAAATGAAGCACTTTTTTTGTCATAACAAACTGCTTCAGGGCTGGGTGTGCAAATCTAACTAAATATTTGTAAATGTCTTACCTTTGTAGGTTCCTCTGAACTTTGACTTTCTGATAATGAAAGAAAATACAGTCCTTAGGCTTCTACCTTGCTATGTTTTTGGCAGTAATCGGTCACTGCCTTTGGTTTTGTCTGAAAATCATTGTTTTTACTTTTTGAATTTCTGGAGTTTCTACATGGTGTTGGATAGGATTACTGTTTTTCATTTTTCCAAATTATCCTGAAGTAGGGAAAGCTCTTTCCCACCACAAGGCAATGATTTAAAATGTGAATACGTAAAATACCCCACAATTCAAAACAGTGTTGGAATTTCTCTACCAGCAGTACATCGGTGAAAAATACATTTATGGACTTCTGGAATACATATAGGAAGCTCAGTGTTTCCAGTGTGCACCCACAGTAAAGATGTGTTCCTTCTTTCCTTGCTATGTAAAAAACCTTTGTCTTCAAATCTCTTGCTCAAGAGCCATTTAGGTAGGATCTACTGATCCTCTGCTCCCCCTTTCTTCCAGGTCTTCAAACACAGATACATACTGTTTACATATATATATATATATATATATATATATATATATATATATATATATGTATATGTAAACAGTATGTATCTGTGTATGTGTGCAATGTATGTATGTATATATATATATATATACATACATACATACACATATATATATGTATGTATATATAAATGAATATCCTTTTCTAAGGCTAACAGAAACTTTATTTCATCACCTCTTCATAACAGAGAAAGTTGGCTGGTTGTGGGAATAAGACAGAGTTTTGGGAACACCCACACTTCTCAAAACAAGTGTCAGCACAGAGGGCAGTGACTCAGCACAGTCTTTTCCCAAATTAATGTGCTGAGGTGCATACATTTTAGTAAGTCTCTCTGGAAAGATGGTCAAAATCTTTCTATTTTGCTTGGATATTCAAGTCCCAGTCTCCCCCCCCCCCTTTTTTTTTTTTGGAGAAGGATGTTTGCTTTCCTTTTGTCAAAATATCCTTCTCCTCAATTTTTGCTACGTATCCAAAGAAAAGAAACAGTCATTCACTCTTGTATTGAATTAGGAGGGAGGAAAATGATTTGAAGCAATAAGACTGTATTGAACATATCTTGTTAACCTTCTGAATCCCTTTATGGTTTAGACAATCATTCTGAACAGCAGCTAAATTCGTTGGTCTTGACTGGTTTGCTCTCTATATCTCTTAATGCAATGCTGTTTGTGATTAAAGGCAGCTTATACATGGAAAAATGTGACACCTAATGGTCACATTGATACTATATACAGAAAAAATATGTATATTTAATTGGAAATACAGTTTGGGCCTGACCTTGCATTTACTCTGCATGATCATCTCCTGCTCAAAATCAAGTAGTTCTGGAAGTGTTTCCTATTATTAAACAATGCCTTCTTTAGTAATGAATTTTTTTTAAACACTTGACGCTTATTTTTAGTGCTTTAACTAGATTATTTCTTGGCACTTTACAGAAGTGATTAAGTATCATTATCTACAATTGCAATAGAACAAATAACATATAGAACAATATGCTGACTTTTCAGAGGTAAGAGGAAATTGGCATCAGAACCAGGAACAGAACTCAACCTGTAGACTGCTCGCTGGATTTGTATGCTCTAACACTGCTCTGTACATCATTTCATGCATAATAAAAAAACCTGAAGACAGTGGTAGAGAAAAACTAAAATAAATAGACTACAGAAGATACTTTAGGGAGAACTTTAAAATGTGAGAAGACCTCACTGATACAGAACCATAACATTTTTTGACAAAACTAAGGACAGCCACGAGATGATCATTTGAGGTAGAAGTTTGGCACTAAATAATGGGATTTTACATAGTTTTAAAGTGTACATGAAATTAGGAACATATTCTAACAGTGCAATGCAAAGAGAACTATTTTATTTGTATAAAAGATCAATTTTAATCAAGAGTTTTCCGTAACAGGAAGAACAGCTAATCAGGGCTGATATTCGGGCCACCCAAGATCCCCTCATTTCAGGACCTCAGAAATTTCAGCATTTAGAATCTACCCTAATTCTCAAGAATCCCTGTCATTATCATTGCACTGTGCTGTGCTGCCAATTTACACATGTATGTGAGGATAAACCCATGGAAAACTTTCAGCCTTATTTTTTTTTCTTTAACTACATGAGAATCTTAGCTTGTTTCTGTATTTAATTAGGTGGAAACATTATTGGTGGTCATGGGAAAGGCACTGGAAATCTTGGAATTAAGTCAGGACATGGGATTTGTTACTGCTTCCCAAAACAGAACTGTTATTGCGAGAAAGATGATATAAAAGGTAAGTTTAAACAATATCTGCTCTTCTCATATTAATCTTTCGCTTTCTGTCTATCTTCTGTCTTCCATGTTTATATACATGCAACAATCTGAACTTGTGGGCACGTTAATTAGCAATATATTTGGTTCTTTATTGTATCTTTAAAATATCTTAATAAAAATATCTTTAGATAATTATTAACTATAATTATTGGGAATGTAAAATTAATTAAGAACAAGCACCTTGACTTCTGGCATGGAGACTGAAAATCTCCAGAGGGGGTTGTTTCTGTCCTTGGCAAAAGTTCATTTTTATCCATTACTACATGAAAAACAAGTTGGCCATCCTTTGCTTTTCAGCAGTATTTGCATTTCAGTGAGGCTCACCTGATATTTGCAAAGACACCTAGGAGAATTAGAATACCGACTTCTATTACTTTCAAGTAATTCCAGCCTCCTAATCATTTCTGAAAATCTCAGCTATCAAATGTCATATAGCCTACACCTATTGTTTTAGGAGGAAGAATGGATTACTTTATTCATTGACCTTTGTTTAAAGATAAAAAGCTTTATACAGTTCTTTAAAGCAGATTAATGGGGATTAAATACTATTATTTTAAAACTGTTTTTACTATTGCTAATAAGAAACATAAAGTCAAATATTTTACATGTCTCAAACTGAGTTGTTTAGAATATACCCCAATTCACTCTTGAGTAAATTTTTTATAGGCATAAAAAGAAAAAGAGGAAGCATAAATTTTCCCCCTGCCCCTACATTCCAGAAAAATATTATGCTGTTTCACTTAGTTCTGAGGTACAGCTTGCAGATGTAGTTAACTTAACTGTGTATCTGAGGTCAGAATTATCTCATGGTAAGTAGTGCAAGGACAGTATGTTGAATCTCTCAGTTCCTTCAGAGAGAAACACGCAGCCTTAGAAGAATGATGTTTAGGGGCACTTACATAATTTAGTTTCCAAAGAAAGACACTAAAAGTCCTTATGGAAAAGGAGAAGTAGTAAATGTGGAGGAAAACATGCATAAGCAGTTGCAGCATAAGGAAATGCTTTCACAAACAATATTTTGTTAAATACAAATATTCTAAGTCTCTTTCTTTAGAATCCAAAAAGATGAAGAGAAGTATTTTTCTTATGTACAATAATTGGCATCATAATGAAGTAAAATTTATATATGAAAATGACCCTATTTGGACAGAATGGTTCTAACATAAACTGTTGTCCACAAGTGAAATCTAGTCACAGGTCTCCAGAGATAGAAGTAGTATCAGAAGATCAGTATATGGTAGGCTGGACCATAAAGAAGAGTCTCAGAAGTAGCTAATTCTATAAAGACAAGGAATATCAGTTCAAGATAGCTATCCTTCCATTTTACACAGTCAATTAAGCTCATTTGCTTAAGATTATATGCTGCTGCCCAAAATAGAAAATCAGCTATTAGGTTTTCCTGTAGCTTTTAAAAATGTTTTTGAATTCTTTGTCACACCTGTGTCACGTGAACTGCCCAAGCTGAAGTAGGAAACAACAAAGTTCTAATAAATTCTTCTTGATCCACAGAGCAACTATGTGATGATGTGTGCAAGACTGTCATAGCAGGGGCAGTGCTGTTGTCCTTCATCATCTCTGTGCTGCTTTCTTCGTATTTCATCCATCGCTACCACAAAAATTCTCCAAAGCCACCTATTGCCTCTGCAGAAATGACATTCCGGCGCCCGGCCCAGTCCTATCCCATCAGCTATTCTTCTACTAATGTCCGTCGGCCTTCTTTAGATTCCATGGAGAACCAAGTGTCTGTAGACACCTTTAAAATACCAGTAAGTCTGATATAGTTTTGTGTATACTTTTTCATATCTGTGTTGTTCCTAAAGAATGGTGTTTATGCATGTAGAAAATGTTACAGAAGTGCGATCTGCTTATAGAAACACCCAAATCAAATGATTAAAACAGAAGTGATGTATAGAGGGACAGATACTTAATGAGTAATTGAATAAGTCATATAACTTACTGCACAAGGCCAGTATATTCTGCCACTTTTGTTCCATTCTAATATAATGTAACAATGAGTCAAATTTAAGCCATTTTTTTTCTAAATGTAACTCTACATTTGATGGTGTGGTTTAATTTTAACATTTTTAAAGTAATATAATTGTTAAAGTTGTTACATTTAACATTGTTAAAATAAAATAGTAGTCTAATAATCAGCACAGGTTTGTAGTCTCTGTGATTAGCCATAGTATTCCACAGAGGATAAGTTTAGGGGAGGAAAAAAAAAAAAAAGAAAAAAAGCTGAGATCTGTTCCTGATTTCTGTTATACAGACACACTGTAGGTGTCAGGTCATGTGGGAATGGTGTCCATGCTTTTTGCCCAGTTATATTATCATATCTTTAATCTAGTTTCTTCTGTGTTGGTAAGTTACATACTATTCAGGATGCTTGCCAGCTGGTGTGTTTTCATGGACCAATATAGTAAAGAAACGCTGCCATTTTCTGTGACATGTGGCAACACCAGCTTTATTTGCATGCTAGATATTGACGTCTTCACAGGCCTTGCGCTCTGTGTACTTTCATCTCTCGTCTGGTTTGTACATCTGTCACCATTTCACAACTGTAAGGCTTGATAACTCTCATTTCCTAAGAGGAGGATTGTTGTGTCTGATGGACTCTGCAGGGAAAGCCTTAGTCCTTGAGTAAAACTAATTTACTTTTCACGTGAAGTCTACAGTCACATATTCACAGTTATTCTGAAAGCAAACGTTTATATTGCATTGCTTCATGTTTCATTTGTACACGATTTCTAAGTCCTGTAAATATAATATATTATCCACAAGCTGCTTTTGCAGCCTTTTTTGAAGGAGGTGATTTTAAGGTAATGTAAAAACACTTGCAAAATGCTTAGAGATTCAGAAGCTTTCTTAGCAATGCACTCATTGACCAAAAAAAAAAAAAAAAAAAGGGAGCAACCGAAATTGTACACCAAAGTATACCTATTCCTGAAGAATGATCTCCTATTGAACATTAATGCCTCTGGTGTAGCTATCCGCTTCTGTTCTTCCTCGTCTTATAGGGTTTCTTTTCTCTCCTGCAGGAAGATCCGAAGTGGGAATTCCCTCGGAAAAACTTGGTTCTTGGTAAAACTCTTGGAGAGGGTGAATTTGGAAAGGTTGTCAAGGCAACAGCTTTCAGACTCAAGGGAAGAGCTGGCTATACTACTGTGGCAGTCAAAATGCTAAAAGGTACCTTCCCATCTGCATCTGAAATGTTTTGAAAACTATTTGTTGTAACTTCTGCATGCATTTGAAAAGGGGCTAACATGAAAGTAAAATGTCAGCTATGAACAACCAGTACCACAGCCTTCATTTCTTCCAGCAGCAGTCTGTTACATTCTGACAGATTTCTGACTTTAGCAGCTAGCATCATGTTGATACAAATAAGTGACTTCCACAAGTGGTTCTGATTAACGATGTGCAAGGATTCTCTGTCTTAATGGGGCAAATACATTTAATTTTGGTCGGCATTGACAGAAATATTGCAAGGGCATGTTAAAGCTTTCTGACACTCCACTCCCCTCCTTCCCTGCAGTTTTATTTGGCAGAGCTTTTAAAGTAAATTGTGTTATAACCATGGCAAGAGACAGAATAGGCCTATTAAGTTACTTCTCTGATTGAGAATTCCATCTACTTTTGTACTTTCTGATATACTTTTCAATTACCAGGTGTTCTTCCAAACTGGCTTGCAGAGCCTAATGTTTTCTCCTGGTGTCTTCAGTTCTTCCAAAGACTTTAAAGATAGGGAAAAAATGTGTTCCTAGGTTATGTTAAGATTATAATATGAGACCTTGAGCTCTTGTCCCTGTCTCTGTTTAGTTTTAGGCCCCATTTATACTTGTTTCTTTACCATACAGAAAAAGACACGGTATTGAAAGAAAAAGATGATTCTTTTTGTATGGTTAGTTGTTTTTTGGTCTTTGAAGTAGAATTCTCCAGTATTAGTGTACGTTTCAGGTGAAGGCTGAATGCGTGGCTTGTAATCCATAGATTTTGCCACCTTTACTGTTAAATATGAATGCAGATTTTGCATATATAATGTCTGGGCCTGATGACTTCATTAGATATGCAATGGTGGTGAAGGAGGTCAGTTATTCACACAACTGTATCCTTTTATGTTGTTTTGTGTGCTAGTCCATAAATGCATGTAGTCCCTATGTATCAGACACCTAGGAAAGTAGTGGGTGAAGATGGGAAAAAAGAACCTTCAGGAAGGCTTACGGATACAAGAAGATTCCTTCAGCTGGGCAGCTAGCTTTATCTGAATGACCTCATCTATTTGTTGCTGCTTATAATTAAAAACATATATATATGGTTAAAGAGAAAAAAATCCATCTGCTGCTGCTTTAGAGCAAAAATTCTTTATATTCCATTATTTTACCAAAAGAGTAAGTGGTTTACGAAGTGCATGCCCACGTTGCATGAGGTTCAGTGGAGACAGGTCATATGGAAAAAAATTAGAACTAAGTCTTTTCAGAGGTGAAGACTAGTCAAGTCTTGCAATGATCAAGTCACAACCTGTATATCATTGTAAATGGGTTTGTCATGATCGTTATTTCATATTTATTTGTGCACTCAGTATTACCAATTTTCTAGCACATTGTCATCAACAACGTGTGACTGAGTTAAGATTCCAAGACATAGTGGTAAAAATGTTGCTTTTACTTGCAGATGATTTAACATTCAGCTTTCCCTAGCTATTACCAAGTGCAGAATTGACAGTAGGAAGGAGTAACCCTTTATTTTAAGCACCTTATTTTAATAAATTGGTCTGACATTTACAGTAATGCTTGGGGCTCTAATGAATCCCTTTGTCATGTAAATTACATTGCACATAGTCACCTGAAATTACATTTTCCAACTTGATTGTGGAGAACATCTGTCATTACTGGAAATATTTATCCATTACTGTTTTAACTTTACAGTTAACACATGACAAGTGTAAGAAATATTGCTTTAGTCCAAAGTGGTCTATAAAATGCTGCCACGGATAAAGGACAGTTATTTTGGATCAGACCACCACTGACTATCCTATCCTTGTTACATATAGTAGAAGCAGATTTATACTCAGATGCAAAGGGTTACTTATCCTAGCATTAGGGACTCTATGTTGCCTGATCTTTAAGCCAGTAAATTAGCACAGAAAGTCTCCTGCTTATTTCTTAAAAGATACCTGCTTCCTGATATCTTCTCCTACCTGTGTAGTTTGGCACAACCTGTGATTAAGAACATAATGAGGTAGGACTTCTCCTACTTTGTCAGTTTGGTGCGATGTTCTGGGGAAGGAACAAGGAGAGGTAAGGAATTAGCAGAGCCAAAACAGTCTTGGAGCTGTGGATAGAGGTTTGAAGGAACAGAGGGAGAAATTTTTTCAGTCCTTTACTAGTATGTATCCTGCATGATATGAAAGCCCTCAGAATAAAATTGAAGTGGGCAACACCATCAAACAAGTACATAGATATCATTCACTGTTTGCTAAAAACCAGGGGCATAAAGCTTCAGAGCTAATAATGTCCATTTGTCAACTATAGAAGGTGCTTTTTCAAGAATACAGACAAGCAGGGCCCCCAGGGAACTTATCTTCTTGCACATACTATGCAGTCCCAGAGCTAGAAAAATAAACTTTTCACAGTTCATATTGTTTGGTTTTGGTTTAGCTAACTTAATGTTTCTTGTACTGCTTGCAAGTAGTGAGTGACCATCTAATATTGCACTTCCTGTGAGGCAGAAGACTCAAGTCTGTGTATAGGTTCTCTGTAAGATAATATAAGCAGATGATGTATAGTAGAGCAATACCAACATACAGTAGAAAAGAATCAAATATTATTGTAACCAGGGCAAACTATGAGCATACGCATTTTAAATGGATATGTTAAATGTATCCTTTTGGTGCTTACTACCTTCACAGAAAAGCAAACAGTATAGTAACAAAAATCAGAAAGTGAGGTGTTTTTTTTTTTTTTTTCTAACTAACTTAAAGTAAGGGCCAGTATATAATTGTAAGTTGCCCAATAACAACTCTATATAGGAACAATACAGGGAGATGCTCTGTGTCAAGGACATTAAGGATGAGGCGCACAAAGGTTTAGCTCTGACCTGTGGTTTCTTTATAAGTAACATCTCCTTCAATCCCCATTATGTTCAAAGAGGAAGATTATAAGATGAACTCGGTAAAAACAAAATGCTTGAAAGACTAAGGAAATCTATGGGGGCTACATAATGTCATACTACTGTCACTGACATTGGCAAAGACTGCAGATATGTCTCCCAGTAAAATCAATCTGACCTGTACATTTAGCTTCTGAACTCTAAATCTGGATGTATGCTACAATGGTAAGCCAGTAGATAAGTCGATTTTAGCTGCATTGAAAAAATTGTTTTGGAGAAAGAGGATTAAATTGTAGGGACGTAGGGAGATAACTGAGCAAGTATTTTTTGCTTGCTCAGCCAAAAACAAAAAAAAAAAAGGCTTTCACATGCTTCTTAGTTTGGTCTGATTCACCCTAGAAATAGCTTTAGAACACAGGAAAAGATCTGTCATAATTTCATGGCATCTGCAAGACACTGAAGGCTCTTGTTTCTGATTGCTGGCTGACCTGCTCTTTGTGTAGCCCTTTGTATCAGGGCACAGGGGTGATGATGGCAGCTCACCCAGCCAGAACAGCAGCTGCCTTATTTGCCATATGAGTGACTGCAGGACGGTGGACATTTCTCTCCTGTGGGAAAGAGTTTTCTAAGTTCTTGCTAATTCCATGATAAATGGTACATCTCAAAATTCAGATGGTATGAAGAGAACTTTCGGATAATGCTTTCCTAACCAGAACTATGTTTTTGGACACCTGCAGAAAATGCTTCCCAGAGCGAGCTGCGAGATCTGCTGTCAGAGTTCAACCTTTTGAAACAGGTGAACCACCCTCATGTCATCAAACTTCATGGAGCCTGCAGTCAAGATGGTAAATATTAGAAACTCATTATTAAGGTGAAAACTTCAAAAAAGGAAATAAACAGCAGTTCATTGTTGGGTTTGGACTACTGCTTAAAAACATGGCACACCTTTTAAATATGCTCCTGACTCAAAAATGAGGGCATATAAGGCAAGCAACTTTGAAGGGAAGAGGAAATGCAAATTCAGTTTAACTAACATTCTTTCCAAGGGTATTTTCTATACTCATTTTGATTTGAAGCTATTTGGAAACTAATCATTCTACTACTAGTTGCCTCCTAACAGTATGTATTTTCCTATTACTATTGCTCAGTAAACCTTTTAGATACAGACTATATTTAAAGTTTAATGGAGCTTTCATTGTTCTTAGTATTATTCATACTATAACAGTGCTTTGAGGCCTGACTCAGGGAGTGAGGTTTTTGTTTTTTTTTTAACAACTACAGATCCCTTTGTTGAAGTAGAGCTTGATGTTTAGATTGACATGCAGTTTTCCTGTTCTGTCACGAAAACTGTTGTCTTTCTCTTACTGTGATATTTGTTAAAAGCCACAGTCATTGAAAGGTATATTTTAAGAGGGAAGAAATTTTCAGATCTATGTATTAAAACTTCCAGTGGAGCAAATTTTCACTGATGTGCATGGGAATCAGTTTGGATAATTTCTGTTCATGTTAAATGGGTATGCATGGCAACATTCTCTTCCTTTTGTGTCTCTAATTGTGGTCCTTCTCCCTTAAAGAGTTTGTGATTTTTGCAGCCTAAAATTACAGTATATATGTGGCAACCTTGCGCTAAGGCCTGCCTTCTTTGCTCATCCAGTTTTGTTGCAGATGGCACTATTAGTTGTAGACAGAGAATATAATTCAGGATTGAGTCATCTCTGAGTTTTGGTAAGGTAATGAACCATCGGGGCGGGATTTTTTTATTTTTTTCTTCTCAGTACAATGTATCTTTTCATCCCTAAGGAAGTGAACTGCTTCTGAGTCACAGGCTTTTAATAAATATCAAGCTAATTCATTGGTGTATGGGGTGGGAGGGTTTTGATAGAGCAGACAAATGTATTTAGCATTAACACACTGAGTGGATATTATTCATGTGGGTAATAGGGAGGAGAAGCTAATGGATTGAAATGTCAGAATGTTTTTAAGTGCTCTGAAAAGGCACCTTAAATACAACACTGAAATTAGCAGATGATTTGTGAACTCAGTATCATGCACTACAGAAAAGAGTTTTGGGTTTGGGTTGCTTTTTTAAAGCTTCTCTAACTCAGGCTGTTTCACAGGCCTGATTTTTAAGAAGGCTGTATTTTTTTCAGTCTCAAATTATCCAGGTGAGAGAATAGGCTAGAGCGTGAATTTAGCTCTGATTTAGGCTGAAACTCACTCACTTTGCATAGAGGATGTAAGCTAGAAAAAAATTCTGTGGCTGACTCAGTGCCTTTTATGTGAAGAAGAAAGGTTTCTGGAGCCACTAACTATTGAAAACAACATGTTGATTAGAAGAGACTGTTTTGAAAAAAAAAATCAAAAACTGTTATCTATTAATTGCAAGCTTATCGATGTGTGTGCTTCTTTCAGGCCCTCTGTATTTAATTGTGGAATACGCTAAATATGGCTCCTTGCGCAGTTTTCTCAGGGAAAGTCGAAAAGTGGGACCAAGCTATGTGGGTAGTGATGGTAACAGAAATTCAAGTTATTTGGATAACCCTGATGAGAGAGCCTTAACAATGGGAGATCTGATATCATTTGCATGGCAGATATCTCGAGGAATGCAGTACCTCGCGGAAATGAAGGTAGAGCACCTAATAGTGATCTGAGCATGTCCTTGTGACAGATGGACATGTAGCAGTCTGTTCCTCCACAAGAAGCATAAACACTATTGTTGGTTTCTTTCAAAAGCTTGTTCATCGTGATTTAGCAGCCAGAAATGTACTGGTGGCAGAAGGGCGCAAAATGAAGATTTCTGATTTTGGCCTATCCCGTGATGTGTATGAAGAAGATTCATATGTCAAGAGGAGCAAGGTAGAGTGAATGTTAAAAAGAGTTGTGAGAATTATTGCCTAATCAAGAGAGAGAATTTATACTGCAGGACCTAAGCGCAGAAGAAAAATATAATAGCTAATTTTATAAATAATGACAACAATTAACTACGAATAATTCTCTTAAATTTAAAAGAACAACAAATGAAGATGAAACAAAATGATAAGCTTAACTAGCAGGACAGTAATATATGTAAAAATTATCATATTTAAGTCACTGTTAGTTCCTCTCTTCATTCTCCTCATTTGTAAATATACCTATATTTTTTAAACTTAAAATTTTATGAAAATATTTGTGTAAATATTGTGAATTTTAAGTTTAGCTTTCTGTGTTTGTTTGTTTTTAGGCCAGTAGTGCTGTTTGTGTGAATGTGTTCTATAAGGTAAAATAAGTTGGAAAGAAAAAGACTTTTTGGAAGACATGATCATACATAAAAAGGGCTTTGCCATATGCATTAGCTGTCTTATGATGCATGTGTTTTACATACCAGTTGCTTGGTGTTTTAGGAGTGATGCATTTACATAAATGCAGTTCCATTTTATTTGGTAGGGTGTTGATGTACTGAATGGATATTTGCTCTTTACTTCAAATACACTTGTCACCATAGAGTTTAACAGAACATCTGTCTTCTTGCATAGGGAAAAGGGTAAAAGATGAGTTATCGAGAGCAAGGAAAAGGGATATGTTTAAAACTTACTGAAACAGTTGTTATGTATATATGAATTTCATGAGAATAAGGAGAATATATGGCTTATTAATACTAGTGATATTGTTAAGGTTATGAAACATTTATGAAATTTTTCAAAGCCGAGTGGCATGGATGTGTCTCAGATTTCAACAGTGAGTCCCTACCAAAGGAAAATAGCAACTTGTAGACCCAATTTAGTACCCTATAATTGACTATGATTGTCCAGCAACGGTTCTGAAACCAAAGGTTTCTTCTTTAATCATCATTTCCCATCATTTCTGCATTTGTCCATATCCTAAAAGCAATGGAGTATTTTCTGTTAGAAGAAAGACATTCACGGTTGAAAAACATATGTTTTTGGATGCAATTTTTTTAGAGGATAGTTGAGTTTATCTGGCTCAAGCTGATAACAATCTGGGGAAAAAATAAAAAGTAGTATTGTACTTAATTAGATTACTGAAGTGTTTGGAAGGAAAGGAAGGAACATGAAATTCAGTCATTTAAAAAAATTCTTACAATTATTCTCTTCACTTTTTCCTATTAAATGCTAAATCATTCAGTCCATTGGAATATATTAGAATATGAATAGAGTATCTGTTACTGGAAAAAAAAAAAAGTTGTTTTTTCCACTTGGAAGCTTAATTTTTCTGACCAGTAATTGCCTTTTTTTTCTTTTTTCCCCCCTCCTAGGGTCGGATACCTGTTAAATGGATGGCCATAGAATCCCTATTTGATCATATCTATACAACACAAAGCGATGTGTAAGTTTCAATTCTGGCTTTCTTTACACTTTATGCATTTGCTTAAGGTGATAAAGGAGGAAATAAAATAGTCTATGTAGTAGTCAAAGCTGTTACACTTAGAGATGTAAAGAACGCAACCTGGATGGCACAATTTTTCTGGCACTACTGTCTGATTTTTTTGCTCTTGAATTAAATCTGAGGGAAAAATTTTGCGAGCTATTTAGGTATATAATTCCTGTTGAAATCAACAAGGGTTGGATCTGTAAATGTGAGGTGATGGCCTTTGAAGATCTAGACAAAAATCATTAACCTTTGCTAATGATAATGATTGTAACCAAAGTGCTCAGTTCTCGTTCATCACTTGTCCATAACACCTGCCGGCAGATACAGGACAGAGTGGGAAGAAAGGAGTGATGTTATGTCTGACTTCACTCCTATTGCAATCGATGACATAATTCCAATTAATTTTAATGACAGCCAGCTCACACCTTAGGGGAACAGTCTGGTTCCAGTGCCAGGATGTAAGCTTGTCTTCAGTGTTAGGGAAACTAAGTTTCTGAAGATGTGCTTCTACTTCACCTGTGATGAGTAGGTTGCAAAACTACCACAGCAAAGCTGTTTTTTTTACTGCCTGATGAAGAAGGAGCCCAGCAGAAGAGTGTTTCTATACAGTTAACTCAGGAACATATACTTTCACATTCCTTTCTCTCTGGGATGAATAGTGGTTGTGGCTAGTCACCAGGCAGACACTGTAAAACCAAGTATTATTTATTTAAGCCAAAGAAATTCTAAGGGATTGCAAAAGCAGCAGAACTTATGCCTGATCTTCTGCCAGGTGGCATTTTGGATACCTTCCAAACACCCCTTAAAAGAGAATCTGACTAAAGCAATATTTTCATTAAACTCAAATGGCATAAAACATACTGATCTCAAGGGCATTTCACTTCAGAACGTTCTGATATTTACTTTTAAAAATAATTTTATTCAGTTTTTACTCTTCTCTCTGCAGGTCAGAACAGTGCTAGTGAAATGAATTATTTTTCTTAACTTGGATATTCCCTATAAAATGAATTAGCAAAATATTTCTTTTTTTTGTTTGTTTCATTTGGAGTAAGAAAAAAGTAGGTGCAATTCTCAGAAGAACATGAATTTTACTAAGGCCTGTCTACAGCTCTTTCTGGATTTCACAGAATCACAGAACTGTAGGGGTTGGAAGGGACCTCGAAAGATCATCAGGTCCAACCCCCCATTTCTTTTTTTCCTCCTCAGAGTATCGATTGTGCTGACCTGCTTCTTCACAGTGACCTTTCCCAGACAATTAAAACATTATTTTTAAAAATTCCAAGCATACATTTTTTTTTCCTTTTTCTCCAATTTGCATTATGGTTTAGGGCCAGAAAGAGATTGTGTTGCCATGTAACTGCCCTTTTGTGGACTGTTGACTGATCTCCTGGATCCACTACCATTGATTGATTCATAGAATCTCGGAATGGTTTGGGCTGGAAGAGACATTAAAGTTTTTCCAGTTCCTACGCCTCTGCCATGGGCAGGGGCACCTCTCACCAGACCAGGTTACTCAGAGCCCCATCCAACGTGACCTTGAACACTTCCAGGGATGGGGCATCCACAGCTTCTACGGGCAGCCTGTTCCAATGCCTCACCACCCAACCCTCCCTGTTTGTTTTCCTGATGGGCTGTGATTAAGCTCAGGAGCACCTCTCTCATACACATGATACAACAATTCTGCAGTTGATGCCCGCCTGGTCTCAAACAGGTTAGCTCAGAGCCCAGGGCAGCCTAGTGATGCTGTGTAGCTGGACAACTTCTCAGATCTTCCCAGATATTACCTCTGTGCACTGCTATGCAGATGCAGCAGCTTTCTTGGAGATGTGCTGGGTATTCTTAACAGAGCATGCATTGTGCCTTGTAATTCCTCTTCAGTGCAACTAAACCAAAGGTCTACGTAGCTGCCACACTTGCACACAGCCTTGACTCACTGGTGAGGTCACCTTCGTTATTCATGGCATTATACATGTCAGTAATCCAAGACTATTTTATAGCGGCACCTAATTTAGCAAATTCCCTTCTGAGAGAGACACAGAACTGCAAAGAAAATCATCTCCAGTACAAGTTTCCATGACTGGCGTTCCAACAGCATAGCAAACTGATAAATAAATTACTTCTTTGCAGCACTGATTTTAGTTTTAGATAATCATACTCAATGCAAATATTATTTCATAATATTCCTTATTCTTTGTGGTGATGCAATTATATCTGAGGTGAACATATGTTAATAAATTCAACAGCCATTGCAGTATGCTATTTTTTCTCATACTCTGTATTTGTTTTCCAGCTTTTTCCTTTTAAAGCCTTTCTATGTAGTTAGTGGTTAGCAGTGCTTAATAGCACTACCACTTGCCAGCATTCACAAAATCCCTTTTTGATTCAGAGGTTGGTGACATCAGTGGAAAGCTAGCTTACTGTCTTCCTGTTCACATTATTATTTTTTTATTTTCCAGTTTTTTCTGATCACATTTTTCCCGCTGCACTGTTTATCAGTGAATAAAACTTTCATACCACATTTATCCTCCCATACTGCTCAATTAGTATAATAATTTGAAAACATTGCAGCATTCTACAGCATTCTGTTCTAGTGTGCCCATTTACAAAAAACAACATGAGCTAATTAAGAAATTAGTCGTGTGATTCCCCCTTCCACATTCTGAAAAATTCCTCTTAAGCAGAGGAGATGGATTTTAAAAATAAAACCTGCCACCCTAGAGTTTATTTGAATTAATCATGGACAGTATTACAACCTGATGCTAGAGCATAATTGACTTTAAAAAGGGTATGAGGTGGTATATTAATAAAGTATATTAAAATGTTATAAATATTCATTAGCTTTCAAGAATGTGCAGAGTGATTAAAAATTAAGTCAATGAATGGCATCAAGGAGAATAGCTGCAGCATAACTATTCAGGACTGCGTGAAACTGGTAGTTTGGATTTTCTGCCTGTTTTTGCTGTACTTTTTGGGTTACCATTTTTCTTCAACATGTGAGCAGTACAGTTGGACTGTAGTCCTCTCACAAAAAAAGTGAGTTCTGCTCCTAAAATTTTGAGATGGAATTTTCAAACGGAATTAGACATTTCCCTTGTTTTGCCATTAAATGTATAACCTTTCCCAAAATTTTCTTGAAAGTGCAGTTTTCAGAGAAATTACCCAATGAGAGTACAAAAGCTAACGTTTGTCATAAATTGTATGCAATTTTGCTTCCAGATGCATCCAATTGAGTATCCCCTTTGAGTGAAACAGACAGTGTTGGCTGGCTTCCTTCATTTTGAACATCTAAATTTTGGCAAGTTCTCCCAGTCGAGGCAGATTCCCAGTAATTTGTAGCTTCTTTGTATATAGAATAAGGCTTCCACTAAGGAAAGAAAAAATACTTATGCCTCTTTTCTCATAGTTTGCCCTCCAAGACGGACTAACTTTATCTAAATATTTCCAATCCACTAAAAAAATACTTTATTTGAGTTCATCAATAAAATGAGTTTAAGAATTCATTCTTTTTTCTGTTCATTTTTGGAAAACAGCTTCTTCTGTTTTCTGTTCCATGTTGAACTACATTTTAGTCATTTGCTATTTCCACAATAGATTATTTCCTCTTCTTTCATTACCTCCGAGTAGTAAATTAAGTCCTGAATGAGTGAATGGGCCAAACATAGCAGCTGACATCAAAGGTGTTGCTTGTGACTGAAATAAACTCATGCACATATAAAGAAAAGCAACCTCACAGTGAGGACAGCAAACTGTCTTCAGTTTGGTAACTGGTTAAGCCAGCTTCTGTAAATTTAAACAGCCATGTGATTAGGACTGTAAGTGCTAATTAGGGGATAGCCAATGGAAAAAAGCATCTCTAGGAGCACTACACAGAACAAGAACCAACCTTTGAGCTGAGACACCATGTGGAGGGAGGGCTTTCTGCTGAAGATGGGACTTCGCAGGACACAGCTTTTGTCAAAGGATAAAAGAGGGACAGCCCTTATTTCTACTTCCTTGGTTCCTAATCTTTGTAATGAATGGTGCTGGAGAACAACAATGACCCTGCAGTGGCCCCTCTGGCTCAGCAACATCTTGAATTTGGTTGGTTTCTTAAAACACTAGAAAGAGATCTGTTGGGTGAAAGCCACACCAAGATCTTGAAACCTACTACTGTATATAAAAGCTCATTTTCTTTTTTTCAGATGGTCATTTGGAGTTCTGCTGTGGGAGATTGTAACTTTGGGAGGCAATCCCTACCCAGGTATTGCTCCTGAAAGACTCTTTAACCTCCTGAAAACAGGCTATAGAATGGAGAGACCAGAAAACTGCAGTGAAGAAATGTAAGTTTTTGATTTGATTAGATTCATTAAACATCTCTTAAATTTTATATATATGTGTATACACACACACACACATTATATATAAAGGTTTGAATAAATACCACATAAATGTTCTTCTGTATATCTCAGAAGTATAATCAAAATGTAGAGTACTCAAAAGAATGTAATGAAATTAATGAGCAGTAAAGCACAGGAAAGGAATTACCAACTCAATGTTTGCAGCTACATCTCAAATATCTGGCCTATTCAATAACACTTGCCAATCAATGAGATCAGCTTGAATATTCAAAACTTTTGAGGTAAGAAGGAGATTTTCATAAATCAGTGCTAGCTAAAATATTCAGGAAAACATTTGAGTACTTTTCAGCAAATAATGAAAACATTCCACCCACCGTTGTTGGTATTAATTATCTGAATGTCCTGGCATTACATGAGAGAAAAGGTATCCTGACCTGGAAGTCTTTACGTAATTTTTCTGTGACTTGATAAGCCCATTACAATTTCTGTTTGGAGATAATTCATATTTTATTGGTTGATTTATTAAAATTCTCTGTGTGATATACCTCCTCTCATTGGTTCTTCACATAGCACTTGGAGATAAAGCATAATTTTATGTTCAGCCTGCAAATCTGGTCATGGTCTGTCTGTTTTTTTTTTTGTTTGTTTTTTATAAGAAAGTTACCAGCCTGTAATCATTATGGTGTCTACCTTGATTGATTTTTAATATGAAGGATATGCTTTGGCCACATGAAAAAGAAAATACAATAGAAATAATATAACTATCTTTTTTTTTTTAATACTGCATATGGAGAAAAACATTAAGAACTTCTCAACCTAGAACAGGGTAAAAGTTTATAAGTTTCACTGGTAAATATCCTCCAGGAAATAATCTAATTATTTTGTTTGTTCCATCTCAGAAGGGAATAAGACCTTATGCCTCCAACATATGTTACAGCGTTGATGCTTCTTATGTTAGGCTAGCTTGACTGTGTCTAAGTTTCCATTCAAGCCATATCATGGTTTTCTGACTAGTTTAGATTTTTTTGTTTGTTTGTTTCCTTTGAATATTTTACTGACAGTCTTTGTGAGCCCACTTTGGGGACTATTTTCTTCAATTGTATTCTCTACCTCATACAGTCAAGTAAAAAAGAAATCTATGAGGAGGCAGAGAATGTGGTGTTCTTCAAGAGCTTTCTGTAGCTCTTGCAGTCAACTGTTTCCTCAGTTAGAACAGTTTTGTGATGATGTAGATCTGTTAGTCTTGAAAATACTTGAGCTAGAAAAATAACAAAAATGGCACGCAGAGTTTGAGAGTTACATGTCCAGAAGTTAGCATATGTCCAATAGACAGTTGACTGTAAAACTAATTCTGTTCCCTTTTAACTTGACTTCTATAGAGTTTGGTGTGGAAAAAAAGAAATAATAATAAAAGCAGTCAAAGAACATCAGTTTATACAAGTTGTCTTAGGTATAGTATTTCCTCAAGACTTCACTTCAAAGCAAAGTTTACAAAAACTTTTCAGTATTTAAATAAATGAATATGGTAAACATTTAAGGGGGGTGTTTCTGCAAGAACAGTAAGGATAATTTGCAGTCTCTTGTTTACAGCAAAGCCAATCTTCTCTCCAAAGCTGTGCATAAGCAGCAAAGTTCAACTCTCTGACATAACAGCAGTTTTCCAAGTTGTGAGATGCACATCAGTGATGATACACAAATTTCTTTAAAGTTGTTGGCAAATTTTAAAAAAATAATAATAAAAAATAACTTAGAAATCTGGCATGCTGCCTACATGAGGTGGTTCTTTGAGAAATAATGAAACCTCAGACTGCAGTCCTACAAGGACAGCCAAGTGCATCATCATTTCAAGTCATAAAGGCTCAGTAAAATAAAAGCCCATTCTTGTGAATGTCAGTCATTAATTCAGGGGAAAGTTTAACAGAAAACATGACCAAAAAGAAAAAAAAAAAAGATGTAAATTGTGGCCTTCAGGGTGTGGTTGAACTTGAGTGCTATAAATTATTTGAACAGAAGTTTGACCCACTTCTTACATATACTTTTCTCCACCTTGTGGGAATCACAGGTACAACTTGATGTTGCGCTGTTGGAAGCAAGAACCAGATAAAAGACCAACATTTGCTGAGATCAGCAAGGAACTAGAGAAAATGATGGTGAAGAGTAGGGTAAGTGTGAGCAAGCATAACTCTTTGAGCTTTTTTTCTGATCATGAGAGTCTGAATATACAGAATTTATGGTATGGTTTTTTTTCCTTTAAAAACCATTACTCTTCAAAAGTTTTAAAGCATTTAATCAGTTTCTTCCAAATGCATCCCAATTTTTGAAAGCAGTATTACCTCATGTAGTGGCTTTGATGATTTCAAACCTGTGTAGAAGATGACTTATCCTTAGTTTGTCTAGCTTCTTCAATGAACAAACAAATTGCTGTAAAAGATTACTCCTAAATTGCACTGCTGGATGAATAACCCTGAGTAAAAAGCCTAGAACTAAAGAGTTCAGTATTTCTGTGAATCTGATTTAATAATATGATGATAGCAACAGAGATATGAAAGTTGTATGATTTCACCATTCAGAGTTACTTTAAAACCATTATAACCCTGTAGAGACTTTTGTGGAAAAATGGATGCTGAGGTCTGAAAATAAGTCCAAGTTGCATATGTGTAGAAGATGCATATATATATATACACCTACCTGCACATACACACTTCTTTTTAAAATCTGCTAGTTATGTGATGGGTTTGGGGTGTAGGCCACAGATTCAAATGAGAAACAGAGTGAATGCACTGACTGTTAGGACAGTTGGGAACTTGATAGTGTTTACCTTGTGTACAAAGATGAGGAGATCTGAATACCTTCTCGTTCAAGCATATACGTATGAAGCATACACAGATATTGAGCATAACAGAAACTGAAGGTCAAAAAAGTCAGCTGGTACAACCAACTTCTTGGTTGTTTTACCGATATGCAGAATTAAGTAAAGGAAGTATTAATATGTACATAGCATGTCTAGTGTGCTGGCAAATCAGTTATTTCCAAAGGTGCTTCAGAATAGGAGAGCCTAGTCTGGTGCTAGAAGTACGATCCAAAGACAAATGCAGCGAGGTCTGTAGTTGCTTGATTCAAGGAAACCAGATGCATGTTAAGCCTTAATACCCAACCAGACACACTCCTATATCACAGAATCACAGAATCTCTAGGTTGGAAGAGACCTCAAGATCATCGAGTCCAACCTCTGACCTATACTTTAACCCAGCTTTTTGTGTGTTCACTTCTTAGGACTACTTAGATCTTGCGGCTTCCACCCCTTCAGATTCCTTACTTTATGATGATGGGCTCTCAGAAGAGGAGACACCTCTCGTGGACTGTAATAATGCTCCCCTCCCTCGAACCCTCCCTTCCACATGGATTGAAAACAAACTCTATGGTAGAATTTCACATGCATTTACTAGATTCTAGCAACACAAAAAATGATTTTTCTTCTGCACTGTTCTCAGACTCTGTAACCCCATTGCAGTGTTTCTTGTCTGAATGAAGCCAATCAAAATTTGCTTGGAAGCTTCTTTTGGATTCTTTTGTTTGTTTGTTTGTTTTTTCTTTTGGTAAATGTCAAAGTTTGCATCAAGAACATCCTTTAGTCATTTTGCAGCTGTGTTTAAAATAAACGCTTTCAAAAGGATGTGAAAATAAGTAAAACAACTAGATATCATACAGTAAAACAAATTTTTAAAAAAAGATCAGGGAAGTATTCTCAGGGGAAATACAAAATGCTTATGAGTATGTAATTCAACTATCCTGTTGGGGGGGGACTAGGAACATTTAAAGTATGTTAGAATCTGCACCTCTAATTTAAGCAATAGACTTCTTTTAATAGATTTTTTTTAATTATTTTTACCACAGCTAAATGATAGGACCCTTTTGCAACATTTTTATTTTATTGAGGATGGATTTCTAAATTTCAGCTGCTGTTAATGCATTCTGGATCTGTAAGCTGAGATGTCTATATAATGTGAATGAAATCAGACTATCATATACAGAAGGTAGAAATACTGTATATAAGTATTATATACAGCCTAAATCAACATGTAAAGCCCTTTGAAAAGTGACTTAACAGGCATTTTGAAAGTACTCAGCTGTTTTCACGTCCTTTGATTTATTACAAAAATGTCAGTACTAAATCCTGATTGAATGATGTAGCAAGTGTTTTTAAAAAGAACATATGCTTTCATATTGTGATGGTGAGATGGACAGTAAAAACGGTTCTTGCCAAAACTCCTATATTTTGTCTCCTGATTAAATATTTTACATGTTTTTAGACATTTATTAACATTATAGATATTTTTTTCATTCTTCAAGTAGTATGACTTCTGAAAAGTTGGGTCTTGTAGCTTAAAAGTTGCCATTAATACCTGGCTTTCGGTCTATTTTTATCTACACCCTAGCTATATTTTTTTTAATAGGTTCCCCCAACTCACGTTCACTTTGGGGCGCTCAGTGGACAGATTGTAAAAAGAATGCAGTAGCAGGAAAAGCTGCCACTGAGGTTGATGGCAGATGCTGAATACATAATAATCAACAAAAGATTTCTGTTTTTGAAAATCTTGACCCCGGTGTAGTTGACTCCTTGCACAGCTGGGTTGGCATGGTGCTAAGCACTCTGTTTCCAATTTGGTGATCCCCTGTGCCTCAACTGAGAAACATCACTGGATTTGATGCAAATAATTACATGCTTTAAATACATGCTTAAATACTGAATCAATGCAAGAGTGCTCAGGACTTAGTTGGACTTTACACAGTTGTGCTCCTGGATTTTATAAAACTAAGCAGGGGATCCCTGGTGAGGGTATGAGAGTGTCCCCCAAAACCAATTCAAAGCAAGGGTAAAATACACCTATTTAGGAAAGTGGAAATAACTCTCAGTGATTGAAATGGACTTTGGATCCTGTCCCAAATAGGTTTATTAATTCTTGGAGCACTTTCAGTACAGCAAGAACTTCCTCTTGCAAACCAATGCATTGCTATAAGAACATTAAAAAATAAAATGATGGAAAGCTGGAGGCTTATCAAAAGAAAAATTATTAGCTTTTATTATGCACATGAGCGTGCGCACTTTTTTTTTTTTATCAAGAAAGCACTTTATTTTTTTCAGAATTTTGCCTACATCTGAATTTATGCTTCAGGAATTGTGAAACATCATTTATATTAATTATTTGGGACAAAATCCAGTGGACTGGCTTGAAATATTGAAGGGAGTTTTGCCAAGGGCCTTACTGTCTGCACGTGAAGTTATGGTTCTTCAGTGCAGAAAAAATTATCTGTTTTCATTTTTAGGCATGTCATACCCGAACTGGCCTGAGGAGAGCCCCGTTCCACTCACAAGATTCGATGGCACTAACTCTGTGTTTTCAAGATATGCAAATGATAGTGTATATGCTAACTGGATGGTTTCACACTCAGCGGCAAAATTTATGGACAAGTTTGATAGCTAAAATTTTCTTTGCGAAAGGTAATGGACTCATGAGGGGAACAAACATGCAAAGAATGGAAAGTCCATTGGCTCGTTCTTTGTACAACCAACAACTTTTAGATTGGCAAACTCTTTTATTAGTAGTTTCTGAAGTGTGTTATTCATGCTGAAGGCTATAATTGGTGATTTCCCCTTTCAGAAAACATACCAGGCTGGATAAGAGTTGTAGTTCCAGTACTTCTTTTTAGATTGCCACTTGCATATGGTTCCGTTTGGCAACTTGTTACTGCAAATGGCTCTGCACTTCGTTCTCACTGTTTTTAGATTAACCATCCTGTACTGCAGCTTTCTTGGATGGGAAAACGTACTCGAACTGCTACTTTTATAGTGGCTGTTAGCATATGACCACTTGATCTAAGCAGGAAGCACAAATATATGGAAGGGAGGGGGAAATAATGCTCCCAAACTACTGAGCTTGCTATCAGATGAGACGTGTTACAGTGATGTTGGCACTAATGAAGCCTGTATCTTGGTTTGGAAGCAAACATTTAGTAACTCAATAGAGGACTTGAAATTCAACATTTGAAGTCTTGTAAAATGTATCGTATTGTCTTAATGAGAAGAGAGTTTGTTTTATTAGTTTTAACTGCTCTTACCTTTAGCACAATGGAGATAAATTTGATATGAGATATGCTCTATAGACTGATGGCAATCAAGAGTGTTCATCTGACAGTTTACTTTCCATCATACACATCTTAATGCTAAAACGTACAGTCTTGTACAATCATAGTTCCTTTTACGAGTTCAATTTGGACTGTACAGGTTTTCTTAGATCGAATTAAAGTAGAGATTTTGTTTGCAGTCACGTTCAGTGGGTTGGAGCCCTCCTCTCAGCTCAAAATTGGATGCACTGCCATGCACAGGACACTGCCATGACATAGTTCCAAATAAAGCTATTATCTTGAAAGTTACGAGTAAGCAACACTTGCACAGCAAAAGTGGTCCAGTACTCTTAATGAACCCATACGAAGGAATTGTCATCTGAATTTGTTACGGTGAAATATAAAAATGTTCTTACAACACTGACTTGATATTTAGGAAAATGATCTGCCTATGGGTCATGTGTTCTATGTGGAAGAGTAAATGATCAGCACTACTTTTGTCTTTATTTGTAATCTAATATGGTTAAAAATAACTTTTGTTTGCTACAAATGTTGGGATGTAAATCCCGAGTGACTCGTTGTTAACGTTGTGATGGTTATTCTAAATAATCCAATCCTACCAAAGCTTACTCCTGTCACTTACAATCCAATTTAGCTGTTTTCAGATGTTGTTTTGTGTACCAACTTTGTTTCCATTAAAGTTTGTGATTTCAGAAACAAGAGAGTCAGACTGCCAAAACCCCAACACAGATTTTCGTGTTACAAAAAGTGGGATATAAAGTGCTGTGTTAAAATTTAGACAACTTCACTTTTAGATATGATCTTCTGTTCTGTCCTTGCATCAGATAAGGACTAAGCAGAGTGAGTTTTTCTTTGTACCAACAATTACCGTGTTGTGTAATGCTTGCATACAGCAGATACAGCTATATATATAAAAGGGGTTCAGTTGTGATGTAATGGTGGTCTTCAGTGGCACAACACTACTCAGAACACTGTCAGAATGAATACTTGTAAAATAAATGGCATTGACAAGCCCGTTATATGGGCTTTTTTTTTTTTTTCTTGAGAGATAATGGAAAAAAAGAAAAAAATGGCATTTCTGGTAACTTTTTTTGTCTTTTTTTTGTGTGTGTTTTATGTCTGCAAATGAGAATTCTTTATTGGTCATAAGCAATCAAGACACTAAGATATATATTTTTTTTAATTCTTCCTTAAATTAATCTTCCTTAAATTAAATTTCTTTTTATCAGCTATTTCCAGCAACAGTATTCAACTGGGAGATATGAAGCTACATTGCTCTACGGTAGGTGAGTGAGACAGAGCGACTAAAATAACCAGTGAATGCACAGTGTATGGCATATTTTATTTTAGACTTCCAGCATAAGCCACAGTTGTTTCACCATTAATTCCCGTGAAAAGGTTCACGAATAATTACTGCCACCTATGTCACCTGACAGATTCTGCATATGAAATACATACATGGTTCAGAATGATTGTTTTGTAAAAATTTCCCTTAAAATATTTCCTGTTCTGTGTTTCTATTAGTCAGAATGGTGACAATCTTGTTTCAGTTCCCAATTACGTGAGAGTAAATATACTTCCTACATGGGGAAAAAAGTGATATGCAGACCATTATTTCCATCATTGCCAGAAATGCTTTGGCACTTGGCTGCCCTGAGGAATGTGAACTTAAAGGAAACAAGTGACTAAATTTACATAAATTTACAGGTTGGAGGGAATATTTCTGGAAGTTTCTGCCAGCCTTTTCTAAATACCAGCAGAGCTTAAGTGATTTACCTGGCCTTTGCTTCATGTTGTGACAGGTGGAGGAGAGGGTGAATCTCATGTGCCCTGGTAGTCAGCACAAGAAAATTTTAGCAGCACGAGATTACTTTAACATTAATTCTACAAACTTTTCCAGAGGTATGGTTCTCAGAAAATCTACTGTGAGCTTACATATTTTAATGTGCAGACATATGCCTGTTTAATATAATAGAGATTTTTAAAAATCTATGAATTGAGTTACATAATATTGCCATTATTTGGTTTTATCTACGAGTTCCCATGCAAAATGTGCGTAAATCTCTATTGTACACTAAAATGGCCTTTTTTAGTAGTTCTCAAAAATAAATAACAAAAGCATATTTCTATGTCTTGATTTTATATATAATCTTATATGAATAATACAAGCCTCACAATATATTTTAAAAGGGTATTTCTATGGATTTTTTTTTAGAAAATTGAAACAAAATTACTTATGATTGTGAAATGCCGTTTCAAAAATAGGCCTACCTAAAAGCCCTTTATCTCTCACTGCAGCTACACCTACAGTTGTACGGTAAAACAAATCAGATGAATTTTAGCAGCACCAAATCCTAGGTAGCACTAGGTAGTGATCCCCATAAGAAAGGTGCAGATTGTCCAAAAGGATACGAATGGTTTGACCTTTTCTGCTTATTCTGCTTATCTTTTTTTTTTTTTTTTTTTTGGGGGGGGGGGGAAGGGGTGAGGAACAAACAAGCAAAAAAAACCTCATTCTCTAAAGAGGTATAAAAGTATTTAAAATAATAATTAGAAAATCTAAGTGGTCAGCTGTTCAAGTCTGTTGCTTCTAGCTTTGTAAGTACCCCTCTGAAGTTCATGAATAAATTATTCATGAATAGTTGCCAATCTAAAATCAAATAACCCAGTAGTTGCTTGCAAAAATATGAAAGGATTATCAAAAAAATGAACAAAGTAGTAACACAGATTTACCCATCCCTAGCACGATACTGTAACTCCTCTGTCTAGAAGCAGTATTTAGAAGTAGGTACTATACTATAAACTAGAAGGTAATTAAGCACAACTATACCTCTATGTATACCCAGAAGTGAAAGTGAATGAAATATTTTTCAGTATTTATAAAGTTTTTCAGTAAAGACAAATTGTTAATGTAAACTGCGTTTTGCTTTTTTTTCCATTTTTAATCCTGTGGGACAGCAACCTGTGTCTTCCAGTTAAGATAGATATATTCTTAATACATTTTGAGAAGATTAATAGTTCTTTTCATGGTGTGTTTCTTGATTTCACCTGGTTTTATAAAGAGTTGTGTGATATCTTAATGCAACAAATTTCTTGCTAAAAACATTCTTTGGAGCTGCTACGAAAGTTCATTTTACTGATAATGTTCTGAAATTAAGTATAATCACTCTGCCCAGCTCACTGCAGACAAGTACACTTCCCCTTAAGCTTATCTGAAATAATTAGTTTCTTACTTAGTTGCTAACAAGGTACATTTTATATAACCCAACTTCACCTCATCTGGAAGCTTTTTCATTTGCATTAAAGGCCAATCGAAAATGACATGTACAATTCCAAAGTAGTGCAGTTGCATTTGATGTGTCAAGAATTAACAATCAAAGTTTCTCTGTTAGAAAAGAGAATGCAAGAAAAGTGCATTCATCTCCAAGGTAGTGAAAAAAATAGTAATTTTTGAAATCAGTGACAAAACGATATCATTAGGTATCAGAATGAGAGTGACTATATCCTTGCTGATATAAGCAAAAGTGCATTAACATACTAGACAAGTGATTTAAGTCTAAGATGCTTATTTCGTCATGATATAGTGGAAAGAACCACCAGTTGCATGGTTGGAATTACTGAATATGTCTGCACATAGATGCAATGTTTTAAAATGTGAGTGGAGCATAAAGGTAACAGCAATCACTGCTGCCACCTAGGTTGTAGGTATGGGGCCGGTCCAGTCAGCCCTGTATCTGCACAAGTCCCCATGTAAAGTTACTTCAGGCAAGTATTTTGTGTGAATTTCCTCTTCTGTTTCCAAGTTGACATACAAATAAAGCAAAAAATTAGAGACTTGTGGAAAAAAAAAAAAAAGAAAAAAAAAGAAAAAAAAGTCATTTTCTTACCGCTGTCTGCAAGAGATGATTATTAACAGACCTTATGATTATTTCTTATCTTCAGAAATGCATTGGCATTTCTCAGAAGGGAAATAGTGCTGCCCTGCTGGAAAGCATGTCCTTTGTAGTAGGACAAGGTTTTTGCATATTTAGTAATCTTGTGTAAGTGGAGGATGGAAGAAAATGTAAACTAACACATCTAGAGACCTAGTTTTAGATTTATATTTGCAAAATAGTTTATTATTGAGCACTGTAGAGACATATGACTTAAATCATTCACAACACTGATTCTAAGAGTAGGTGTGAATTTCTGTATACCATGCTGGCACTATGTCTTTTGGACAAGGGGTCAATAGAAAAGTGCAAAGAGCACACGTGTGGTTTCCCTTTTCTTCTCTGCTTTCACCCCACTATTCCCTTACCACTTGATCTGATCTGGGGAGGAAAATGTGTTTGCCCATGGGAGAGGTTTCCATATGCTACAGCCTGCAGGGACAAAAGGATTTGTGCTGGGGAGAAGATGGAGACACCTGCTTTCAGTCGTGTCCTGCAGGCTGGATTCCCTGACCTTCTCACCCTCTAAGCTTGTGAACTGAGAAGCTCCTCATGGGGTGGAAGAGGAAGAAGCCCTCTGTCCCACTGGCCCTGGTGCAGATGCGCATGGTAGGACCAGGCAACTGCAAGTCACCAGCCCAGCCGCACGTCCCCCCTCTCCATCTACCCCTACACCCAGCAGATCATGCACACACTGCAACAGAAGCAACCTGAAGTTGAGTGTGTGCTTTACTTCAGATATAATGAAATGCAGTCTTACAGAGTGAAAATGTGCGAGTTGTTGGGGCGTAGTAAATACTGTTTAGTTTTCAATTCATGTTTTGGCCAGCAGACAACCTAGCTTGCCGTGGATTGCTCTGTGAAGGGAACTGTGGTGTGGTATCCGGAGACTGTAAGGAGCTTCACGTTAAAAGCATCCTCCTGACCTGAACTGAAAAGTTAATTTACAGGTACCCATTGATGTTAAGATAGGGTTAGTAGCTAATTAGCATAGCAGGGTTGGTGATTGTATACATCCAGAGCTGTGATGTTATGAAAACAGACAATTATCCTGGCTTCTAGGGGGTTTTAGCTAACAGCTATTAAAAGCCCTTGGCACACCTGATGCTGGGTGCTCACATCTAACCCATGTGTTTACATGATGCTCTCTAAGTGCACAATTACAGCTAGCCAGAAACATCTGGGGTTTTAATTTTATCAAATCCCCAACAACAAAAAGAAGATTCAGAAACACCAAAATAAACTTGTTGCGTCAGAGAGATGAACCACATCCAGTCTGGGTTCAGATGCAGGAGACACCTACCTCCCTACCCATGTGTATAGCTGTGCGCACAGCTTCAAAAAACAGCCAGCACGATACAAGCAGAGTCCCCTGTTTCCCAGAGTGTTTTTTGTTTTGTTTTTTTTTTTTCTTCTGGTCAGGAGTGTCAGTGATTGATTTGACAGCAGTAGACAAGAATGAATCTTTCTGCTACAGGGTATAAATAATTGAGAAAGAGATTCTAGCCTTGAGTCAGAAAGCTATTCAACACCTAAATGGTTTTCCTGTGCAGAAAGGCTTTCTGAACAGGGGCCTGGTCCACACGTAGTGAATCAAAATGTATTGAGTTTATGTGGATTATAAGGATTTTGTTAAAAAAAAGAAAAAAAAAGAAAAAAAAAGACAATTGGAAATCTCATCCACTGTTGCTCTTCCAGGAATACTTGTTAAAAGGAATTGTGACAATTAAATACTGAGCAAAAACAGATGATATGGGGTTTTGTTTAAAAAAAATATATAAAATAAAATACTGGGAATGTTTTTATTTAAAGATATTTATTGCCATTTTTATGTGGACAAAGATGAAGTAAGCAAATTGGTTTGTGATGAGTTGTCATCAAAGACAATTTCTTAATCACATAGAAATTGTTCATCCAGTTATTTTGAGTTGCTTAACTGAGTCTCCATTATGATTTACTGAAATTATGAAATTTGAAATAAATGGTTTGAAAAGCTAGGCCTTAAATTAGAAATTACTTTTAAGAGTTACCATTTCAAATGACAATCATATACATACAAGGGAATATGTAAAAACTCTGCTGGTTGC